GGGGGGCAGGGCGACACGTACCTGTCTGCGAGGAGGGCGAGCGCCCGAGCCAGGCGGGGAGCGGGGGCGGCGGCGCGGGGGGGCAGGGCGACACGTACCTGTCTGCGAGGAGGGCGAGCGCCCGAGCCAGGCGGGGGGCGGGGGCGGCGGCGCGGGGGGGCAGGGCGACACGTACCTGTCTGCGAGGAGGGCGAGCGCCCGAGCCAGGCGGGGTGCGGGGGCAGCGGCGCGGGCGGCTCGCTCGGTGTACCCCAGTGCCCGTTCGTACAGCCCGCAGTCCGTCAGTCGAACCGCTATCAACAATTTGTAAACCTGATAACGAAAATAATGATTCATTTATTATACTTGTTGTAAGCTCTTTGGACTGAAACGTTGGGTCCCCCCCCCCCGGGCAGGGTGCGCGTCTCACCTGCAGCTCCGGTATGACGTAGTCCTGGTTCAATGATTTAGCGTATTCGTAGATCTCCGTAGCAAAGATCGCCTTGTTGGTGGCGAACTGTTGCAGGGAGGGCGCGCGGGGGTCAGCCAGCAGCAGGGACAGGCGGGGGGGCGGGGGGCGCGGGCCGGCGGACAGCGGCGCCAGCGGATGCTGCGAGAACGGGACCTCCGCCGCCAAGTAACAGAACTGCGCTGAGTACAGCAGTCCGCGGGCCGCGAGGCTGTCTCCTGCAAGGGAACGTGTGATATTTTAGAATTTGGTTCGTGCAGGTGAAATATAAAACAACTTTTCTCTGTGATTAATTCACGGTTTATTTGTAACGTTCCCGGCTCATTAAGTGTTGTATTTTCGCTATGAACTTTACAAATGATACAGCTAGGAACTAAGCTTAAAGGACAATGACCATTTTCTTAGGAAGTTTGGGCTCCTAAAAAAAGTTGTCGGGTCATGATGGTTTTAACTTAATTTTATAGACAAACAAATATCGTTTCATATTCAGAAAACGATTTTATATTCTCACCCAGGTTTAAGAGAAATCTGTTTTTTTCTGCAGCTAAAATGAAGTTGTTCATTGTTTTCTTCGAAATCAATAATCGCTCTCATCATTATTTACAGTATTCAATAAGTTAATTGTGGTTAATGTTGCTAGAAATACTTACGTACATTTTATTATTATTATATCCTCATAATAATAATAATAAAATGAAATGAAAATCCGGAAGCCGGCAACGATATTGTTGTTGTTGTTTTTAAATTCGCCAATAAGCAGACAAAGAGCGTAGCCTATACAGCCTAGTCTGTCGTAGTTATATTTTTTTTCAATAAAAAGCTGGTATATCTCTTTTTATTGCTTTTTGGGAGCTTTGACGTCAACTCGATGAATAGCACATTGAGTGAGCGTGAATTTCCGCAGACCTTTTATCTTGAAAAAAAGCTAGCCACAGTTTTATTCCAATGCCTCAATAATCGTGAACAACGATTATTGACGTTTAATACACAAAACAACACCCAATTTATATATTATACATCACAATAAACTATTAAAAAAACAATAAAATAAAACTTCAAGTGACGCTTCACTCGGGTTGCTGCCAAAACTCTCTTATCATATATAATAAGAATAGAGTAATGGTAGACCATTGAGATGTTTACTAATGGAATCAATAATATCTAAAAATATTAAATAACTCATGATTTTAAGTAATAATTATTATTACAATATATAAATATTAAATTGAACAAAAATAAACTAAAAAGTCGGTGAATGATAACCATTAGCTATTTTTTTAAATTTGTTTTTCAAGTTGACAGACAACTCTTTCGTTTGGCAGCTTAAAGGTTTACTATAAGGCTTTATGGGCTAAGCCCTTTGCCTATTGGCGAATTTAAAAACTATGGCACTCAGTTTTGGGATGTTACCAAATAAGTAATTTATTTTTTTGTAAAACAATGCCAGGTTTGAAGAAATGTTGATACATAAACTAAACAACGTAAAAAAATAAGGCCCACTTTTGGGCATTGTCCTTTATCAAAGTCGCTTCTGACCGGCCGCACCCGCCTGGGTCGCCGTCCGGTCGCGTTCCCGGGACAATCCCAATTGTGATTGCTAAGGGTAGTGGAGAAAGATAACTCTGACATTCACAGTGCCCGCAGTCCAAAGACTCACGACTCATCGCTGCGTGCGACGCTCCCACTCCGGTGCGTCTCTCGGAGCTCGCGGTCTGGTGCCTAGAACGTGCTGTGTCATCTCCTAATGTTTCTGTTGTGTTGTTCCAGTTCTGTACAGAGGTCGCATGCGTGCTACAGCTGCCCCGGTGGGCGCGTACCTAGCTGCGTGACGAGCCTGCGCTCGTGGTCGGGGCGCGCGCCCGCGTTGGCGAGCAGCACGGCGCAGTGCGGGCGCCAGTCGGCGGGCGGGTCCCCCGGGGGGGGCGCCACGGCGGGGGGCAGGGCGGCGGCGAGCGCGGCGTACAGCGTGTGCAGGGGGTCGGCGCGGGGGACGGCGCCCAGGAAGCGCGCGGACAGGGCGGCGCGCGTGCGCCGGTCGCTCAGCGACGCCAGGTGCAGCGCGTGCCCCCACAGGTTGTTCGACACCGCCCATTCTGGTAATTGACAAAATAACAACTTGTTGTGCGTCACGTGTGAAGACTGTAAATAGGATCAAAGAATCTTAGGAATTCAGAATGTGAATACCATCAGAGCTGGTATGTCTTCAGCCTGATGGTCAACATGAGGTCGATATCTCGATGACACTGTAAAAGCTTGTCCTTTCCCTCAAACCACAACACGTGATTGTGTCAGAAATGCACAGAACGGTGCGGGCTCACAATACTACCCCTGCTTTTGTTTTTTGAGCTGAGGCTCGATCTCCTTCGTGGTATCGCGCCTAACGGGGCATGGTGTGCGAGGCTGATAGCTGAATATGTTTAATAACTTCCTCACGGTCTCGGTGGCGCCCAATCCCCGCCCGGGACGAGGCAGGGATCGGGCGAGCACTTGTCACACCTACAGTATATCTAGATCTGGTATTTGTGTTTCTGAGTTCATATTAGTCCCAGTATATCGCGCAGTTTGTTCGAGATGCGCACGGTGGCACAGTAGCGACTGCTCGTGCGAGGACTCACCTAGCGCGTCCCTCCTGTTGCCGCACAACAGATATTCCCTGTACTTGTCGAGGGCGGCTGCCTCGTCGATGGCGGGCGGGGCCGGCGGGTCCTCTGCTGTAAATATAATATCTACTTTAGTTGCTGCTTCTCACGGTATATTTAACGGATATTTATTCGGTTAAGTGGGTCGAGTGCACCCTCACCCGCGGGCCGCGGCGCCGGGGCGGGCTGCTGGTCCGACACTGAGGACTCGCGACGACTTCCTGCCAACACACGACATCATTAGCTGGTAGTTGAGACAAAGATAAAATTGTTTCCTAATTTCGTTGTCCTGGTCGCGCCGTGCGTGCACCCAGTGACGTCACGTGGCAGGGCCGCGGGGGGAGCGCCACATGCTGTGCGACAGTAGTGCGGTGCTGAATTAGGTTAGAATATTCGTTTGGACAGATTGTACTGTCGTTGTTCAGGTTGGCTTCAGGAGACAGCAAGAAATACGTGACGCATATCACAGTGCTTCTCTATCGGCCGCACAGAGAACGAGTAGGGACAATCCACTACTGCTCCTATAAGCCGCCGAGAGGTGTTGCGTCGTCCATAGACGTCAGAAATGCCGTGCGGAACAAACGCCGCGGCCTTGCTTGCCCGATATCTAATGGTCGATACAAATAAAGGGACGCGGGCCCGGGGCGGGGTACCGACCGGGGGGCGCGGGGCTGGCGGCCGGCGCCTCGTGCTCCCGGGTGTTCTTCATCAGCAGCTCTGCCAAGTCCGACCCCACCACCACCTGGAATATTCAATTATTTTAGNGACGTCAGAAATGCCGTGCGGAACAAACGCCGCGGCCTTGCTTGCCCGATATCTAATGGTCGATACAAATAAAGGGACGCGGGCCCGGGGCGGGGTACCGACCGGGGGGCGCGGGGCTGGCGGCCGGCGCCTCGTGCTCCCGGGTGTTCTTCATCAGCAGCTCTGCCAAGTCCGACCCCACCACCACCTGGAATATTCAATTATTTTAGATCTCATGCAAATAAATATAAACTGACTTTCTAGCGTTCCTTTCGAGTACTTGGAATCCGTCGACAAGAGATGTTTATTTACAGATCGCCTTTACGTATTGCAAAAACAAAACTGATCCGTCCTTTTGTTTGTTAACCGAGGATCTTTTTTTTTTGTTTCTTAAGACTTTTTTTTATTTTACTATTACTATTACTAAACGTTTTGTTTAGATTTGGAAACTACGGTTTAGATACGTCGCCCCCCCCCAGCCCCGGTACGCCTAGTCCACGATCTCATGCTGAGCCCAAGCTGGTAATGCTGACCCCGTTCTGCGTGAGCAGCAGCGCCAGGTAGTCCCACAGCAGCGCGTGGCCACGAGGGTCGCGGGGGGCGCCCGCTCGCGCCTGGCTCTCGCAGTACTCGATCACGCTCTTCTTGTGGCTCACACCTGCGGACACATTGTTCACCGTCAATCGCGGGGCCGGAGTGCCTCGCTCCCTCCTCATACCCCTCTTGATACACAGAGACACAATTGAATTCTGCACAAATCGAGAACGAGTCTGTGCCGCTCATTGCATCTTTAAAAAAAGAATGAAGCACTGAGTGAGGAGTGAACGAAGGAAGGAAAGTCTGAGCGAGCGTCACCTTAAAAAAAAAAAAAACCTTTAACAAGCGGTCCGGGGTAGTGCAGCAGCTCGGCCGCGTCGGGGTCCCCGTGCAGCGCCCCGTCCAGCGCCAGCACGTGCACGCGCGCCGCCGCCCCGTCCACCGGGTAGCACGGCCGCACCACCACCAGGTGCCGCGACGCCAGGCTCGCCTGCACATACGGGACTCGTTTGGTGGGTGAGGCCCTAACGCATCCTTGAGCCCGCTGCTCTCAACATCTGTACCCCGCGCGTCCCCTAAAGCCATCCATCTCATCTCATTTCATTTACTTTCGTTCTAATTTATTAAAGTCACAAATGAATCAATTACATCTCATTTTGCTTTATATATTCACTAGCAGACCCGGCCACACGTTGCTGTGGCTAAGCTTTTTGTTTCTAAATAACACGCGGCCGGCTATGCTAATACCAAAAATTGACAAAGTAAGACCAATTGGATTTCACTGTATTGCGTTTACTACGAAATAAATTTCACTTACACTTTAGCCTCTGAAAGTTGTGGTGTTTATGCCATTAAATTGTAGCTTATGTGAAACGTTGGTATTTTTAACACAGCGCCATCTATGAGATTTTAATGTCAGACAGTATTACAATTGTCTGTAAAACTGATTTAAGGCGCCATCTGTTTTAGACTTATGAAACTTACAATCAATAACTAAAATCAACATAAGAAATCATTTTATAGTTAATTAATAAATATTGCGAACATTAATCGAAATAAAAAGCATCCTATCTTTCAAGTTGGATCAGACTGCACACGGTGTACAAATACAATTTAAAATCGGTTAAGTAGATTAGGAGTCCATCGCGGACAAACAACGTAACACGTGATTTATATATATTAAGATTAATAGGTATGTGTGTATTTCCTAAGTTAAGATTTTTAGTCGCAAGAAATAATTTGCCATACTTAAAAAAAGAAAAAGAAATACGTTATGCGAGGTCAACAAGAGTGATAATAGGAAAGACCGACGAACCCTGACATGCGCCGTGGAGTACAGCACCGGGGTCATCCTCTCGGAGCGCACGGTCGACTCTTCCAGATGCAGGTTCAACGACACATCCGTCGTTATGTCCCTACATCAAAACACGCTTAAGATAAACGGACAACACGCCAACACGAGCCAAGGATAGCGCGCACATACTAACTCTGACAGGAGATCAACAAAAGAAAAAATTAAATCAATTTACTTTAAATTTACTATATTTTTATTGCATACATACATATTAAGTCTCACTTCATTCACGTGCAACAAGTTGCACGCGCACCGTTTTTTTCTTAATGTACTCCTTTTAGCATTACCAGTTACCACATGTTTTTGTTCGAGTGATCGCACCATAGCAGTTTTATCGCAACGATAGTGTGGGGCAGATATCTACCAGTCAGACCTGATACATATTTTTTAATGCTGCATCTAATCTCTAGCTTAGTACCCCTACGAGACCTTAACACAACTGCGTGTATCCGCAATGCTTCTTTATGTGTTATGTGGTTTTAGTCTTATATTAGTTGATAAATCTGAACATGAAAATGGGTGAATTTTTAGGTGCATGTAAGTAGCGTGAGACAACGTGCGACGGCAAAGCATAAATTTAACAAAAGTATCAAAATTTTTATGAACATTCCATTAATTGAACATGTTCAAATATAAAACAACGAGATGTGACATTCACTGGAATTCATTGCAGTCATTTTTAATGCATCATATAACTGGCAGTTCAAAGCGAAAAAATTACGCTAATTTAATTTGTAAAAAGATATTTCGGTACTAATTAGAGTTGAAACGTCACATCTCGTCGCAGGCGCCGCGACGCGAGCGCGGGTCCCACCTGTCTGAAACGTCAGTGCGAAGCGAGGGCGCGTCTCGCACCGAGTGCGACCCGTCGAGCCGGTACCCGCCGAAGTACCTACGTAACCAATGCCAGCTAACCGACTGTGCACTCACAACATCGTCATACAACAACACACTATTTCCGTGCAGGTTCATTTCAATATCGTACTACAAGATTATATTTACAATAAATGTAGGGGGGAGCAAAGTACAGGTTTTATACGAGAAGTACAGCGAGTGATTGACTGAGAAGACGTTTGTAATAACTACGCCGCTGTACGAGCAATTCATTGCTGTAAGCTGCTTGATGAATAACTGACTAGTGGTAGCGCACCCGCCTTCGTCTCAGCGGTGACAGCTAAACAAACTGTGTTCACGATAGACCAATGACCAACTGACTTAAATTGGTAACACCCTTAAAAACATGTACTTGAAATTACGGAAGTGGACGACAGCGGAAGAGTCCAGAAGCTCGGTGGCAGATGCAAAAATTAGGGTCGTTATGTCGCCAAACACATTTAGAAATTTTAGACCATGATATCGGCCAAGCCATCGGAGAAGATGAGAAGTGCGCATTTGGGATAGTACGGACATGAGATCAGACGAAATGACAATGAGGTTAGTAAAAGAGTGTTAACTATGAATGTGGAAGGCTATAGAGGAAGAGGTAGACCTAAAAAGAAATGAGCGAAAAGATGGTATATGATAGAGGACTATGGATGGAGAAAACATGTTGCGCCGACCCCAGGCGACTGGGACAAGGGCAGGAGAATGATGAATGATTATCGGCCAAGCCATCCTGTCAACTGTTTGCTTACTTGAAAAACAAGTCACTCCTCCATCTCTTTCCATGAACAAAATTAAAAAACTTTCAAAACTTTACCTATACTTTTAGCATTTGTGTAAATCAAGATTTTCTTAACAATGGGCCACACTTAAACACTGTTATCAAAAAACTGGCAACATTTATTGATATTATGATTCGATTGAAATTTTAGAACAAGCGAAATATATTGTTAAATGCAATGGTTCATTTGTATGAGATGTTATCAGTGCAATGTCAGTTATTTGGAAGCAAGTGAAAGCTCCGAACTTAATGAAAGCACAAATCTTTGAACGTCATGATGCAGGCGGAAGACGCTCCGTACCTTAATGTACCCCTATCGGTGAATATTGGTTAAGGTCCAAACCTTAATAACCAAATAAGCACCAACGTTCGCTTTAGAAATGATATCGAGGGGTGAAAGGCTACAGAAAGGACATTCTTGCAACTTTGCAGGAGAGCCATTTATTATAGTTTAAAATTTTTGAAAAACATCATAACATAAAAACTTCTTCACCTATTTGAATGGGTTAAACTTAATTGAAGTTCAATTAAAAACATCGAATTGTTGATGCTATTACCAAATAAAACGGATCTGTGATTACAAAGACAGATGTGGCGTATAAGCAAAATGTCGCTTAAACCAAATAGCCTTTCACTCCTCGATATGTGTACCTGTGCACGCCAGATACAACGTATACATAATAATATGTACAATTCGATTTAATTCCTTGTGAAGTTAAACTCTCTATAACTTGTATACATATAGCTTTCATGAACATCCCAAACATGTTGACACAAGTAAACACAACGTGAAACTCCCGTTTGTTTCATACGAGATTAGTTACGCGGACATTTATTAACATTTCAAACAACACTTATGTCAGATACAATATTCCTAAGAAAATTGTTGAGTTTTTGAGTGATTCACAATTTGAATTTTAAGCGAATTCATTTTATTCTAGGATGTAAATGGCAAAATTAATTAGGTTTTTGTTAATTGCTCGTTATTGTTAGTAAAAATGAGGTAAATTGTCAGCAAAGTGCTAATGCACTCACGTGTCGTGTCCCTTGAGTCCGGCGGCGCTGGAGCGGCCGGAGTGCACGCCCTCCCCGCGGCCCTCGTACGGCAGCCCGGAGTACGCTGCACACAGAGAGAGAGAGAGAGAGCATGTACAGGCGTGCACTGGGAGGCTGGGAGCGGCTGTATGAGAGTGGAGGGCGGTGCTCACCCTCATGGTAGTGCGGCGCATGTCCGGCCACGAGCTGCTTGTAGACGCGCAGGTAGGCGGCGGGGTCGGTGCGCCGCAGCTGCTCGTAGTACGAGTACTGGCGCCGCTGCAGCGAGTACGCGTCCGTGTACCCGTCCGCGCCGTACGCTGGCGAGCCAACATTCAGACATTTGATTAGATGGTTGGACGAGCTCACAGCCCACCTGGTGTTAAGTGGTTACTGGAGCCCATAGACATCTACAACGTTAATGCGCCACCCACCTTGAAATATAAGTTCTAAGGTCTCAAGTATAGTTACAACGGCTGCCCTACCCTTCAAACCGAAATGCATTACTGCTTCACGGCAGAAATAGGCGGGCTGGTAGTACCTAACCGTGCGGACTCACAAGAGGTCCTAACACCAGTTAAAAACAACTTCTGTGATGCCTTTCCGCTACAAAACTTTCAAATTAGATATATGGTAAAACCGCAATCTAAATCATCAAACGTGATTGCTTCGTGACAGATGGAAGATAGTGATGCCTAGCCGTGCGGGCTCATAAACTCCCCCGCTATTAAGGTCTTCTGTACTATAATTTCTGACTCAATGCTAACCGAGGTCGATAGTTATTTTTTGAGACTACCCACCATCATAGTAAGGATCTCTCGGTTGTCTCCTTCGACGACGGGTCTCGTTGGCGTCGTCGTCGGTGACCGTCGCTTCGCGGGAGTCCGGTCGGGACGGTGACGAGAACGTTTCACCTAGGAGCAAAACATACGTATGCATGTATGTACATATGTGCATACATTAATGAGGGCGTATTGACATTATTATATAAAACACACTTTGAAAACAGTAAGTAGATTTATAGAAAATAGAATCTTGTTTTTTAGAGGGTAAACTGAATGTAATCGCCATAATCAAGGCACATTTTGTCTTGCCAATTAACTGTAGCGTAGAATGGCACCAATCCACATCTTCCTGTGACCATTTTACACGACGACTATTATAAGTAGATTGGGCAGCAGCGTTCTTAGAGTATTATATTAGCAGACTGCGATCGAAAACTCGCATGCTAAGCGTAGCGATTATGATAACCCCCAATAGAGCTTTTTATTGAGGAATCCAATGACCCGCAGTGGATGGCTTTTGGTTAGCGATGATCAAACCATGTATTTAAATAGATATTTTTCTCGGATATTTGCGCTGTCTGAATGAAAACTATATTTTGATAGAACTGTTCAAGATTCTACACAAGAACACTTTGAGAGAACTGAGTGATTTATGATGTATTCATTAAAAGTCATAGGCTTAGCAAACAATATAGGTACTTCAACGCTCCCTGCACAACGTACTAACTTGTATGCGGGAAGTTCACATTATTTTGTGTTATGATTACAATTTGAAGAGTACTAAATTAGTGAGAACGAAAACAGTCAGATATTAGTGTGTACTGCACTCTGTTGATATTAACCGTTTTTTCCACCACATGTATCAGGCTATAACGCCATTTCGACAAAGCGGCACGACACGAGATCGACTCTCATCGTGGCAGCCGGTAACTACATAGCCGATCCTGCGGACTAAATGGTAAACAATCGACGCCGCCCAAAATACGTCATCTCGGCTCCTTCCGATCCACTAACGGTGCTTTTAGGTACCCCAAGCATCGGTCATCGTTCTCGTCGAACCCGTCGCTTGCGATGAAAGGCTCGGATAGTAAATTAACCCACAAAAAATTGTGAACGAGGAAAAAATTAACTTCGAGACAAACAATTATCACACCTATTATATAAATCACTAATATGAACGGTAAAAAACAATTTACCATTACATATTAAATTAACAAGTTTCATAAAAATCTAGTACAGATATGGAGACGTTGCATGTAGATTGTACAATACAAAATGTAGATAAAGTGATATGGTTTGGTAACGCTTTATCGAAGTATAGAATCGGAAATGTAATATTGATAAACACGTACGAATATTTTTGAAATTTTTTATTTTACGGCTTCACTAATACCTGTGCCAGAAGTTTACCGCTGTGTGAGTGCACTCCAAGTTTTTCACTCTCCAAAGAACCGAAATAACTTAATACGTTTTCAATCACGAACCTATACCTACTCCCCTAATTTAGCAGCTCAAGTGGGAAATAAGGTCTAGTACGCATCACCTGTATTTACCGTCTGGTGAAGCTTAGACTTCTCTGATTTAGTGTAGAACAGAGATGATAATTTATACCTAAGATGTCCTATTGAAACATAATGCCCGCTGTGAGCTCGGTAAGGTTAAGTTGTTTGCTTACTTTCGGTAAACCAATAAGTGCCAGTACTAATAGCAACCATTCACTTCAATGACACCGCGACCTTGTCTCAAGCCAGTCACATTCAGGTTTAGTGTCTGTAATTCCCGATCCGCTTAGCACAAGACTTAGTTAACTGCTCGTAATCGCTTAGCGGAATTTGTGCTGCGTGAGCTTATGGTGTCATGTGGAGGTTTATTTCATAACACCCTATTAAATGTTTTGCGTATTTTAATATGACACAGAAAGCATCGACTTACAATACTATCTTTTAAGGTCATAAACGTTGCAATAACGGATATTTATAACTCGCAAAAGTAATAAATGCATTATTAAGAAAGAAAAATCTTTACTGATTTCTATTTGTACTTAGCAGAAAGATTCGCAGCATCATAGTATCTTTATTTGCACATAGAAGAGCTCACTTCACAATATTGAGGCATGAGGTCATCTCAATAGCTATAGCTTGGTCATTTGGGCTCTACTATGATTGATAGTACCGCAGTAATGGCAATTACAATGTTTCTAAAGATTTGAAACCACTCACAAAACAAAGATCCGTGAATTCCGTAATTACATGCATAAATAATATGGGGGTGATGGGGTTAAATGTTTTCAGATTTCCCTAGTCAACGGAAATCCCAATGGAAGCGCTTTTTAATTTCGTCGCGTAATTCCGTCGGTCTGTGTGTCACAACCATTTTACTCGGGTTCTACTGTCTGTAACTAAAAACAGGAAATTTGGAAAGTATGTGCATTTGACTGAAAAAATGATAATTACAGCTCCTACATAGAATAAACTGAGTAATGAAAAAAAAAACGAGTGCTTTTAGCACGATGTGGTGTGAGCATCCGTAGTAAATATTCTTAAAAAGTTTCTCGGTGAGTATTTGATTGAAGGCCGTGCCAGATGAGATATACCATTAAAATCGCACAGGAAGTCGTCCTCGTAAGTTTTCAACTATTAGAAGCGAGCCAAAAAGAGACTATAAACATATCAAATGTTAAACTAGTAATTGTTTAAACAGTATAGGTTCATGTATTTTCATTTCGCTGATGAGAAAAAACCGATATTAATTCAATTTCAATTTCATCCCATTTATGTTTCCCTCTGGTTTATTTTAGGCTTCTTATTAACATTATCATATGATATTGTTATCGAAGTAAAGAAAAACGCCTCACACATTTCCATGCTCATGTGACATGCCATACATATATTACAGTGGATGTGTCGATAGTTGTGTATAGAGATGTATCGAAGCTTAAGTTAGTGAATAATCGATTTTTCCGTAATAGTGTTTGCTCGATTAAAGTCGTGCTCCATTCTAGTGTCAGTATGGTCGGGCTATATGATGACCGCTACCGTTAATATGATTTTCATCTTATTTTGCAAATATATCTCTAATTGTACTTCTTACCTGATTTACCAATCAAAGCTAGATAGGGTCAGACGACCCACGAAACGGTAAGGGAAATAGAATTATTATAGAAAATGACTACTCCGATGATCTCGTCAAAATGAATGTTACTTGATAATAGTTTGTTCGCGTTAATCAGATGACACGATAGATAAGACACTGTGACTGTTTACTGACAGGCGAGCCGTGGTCCAGTCCTGCGGTTTACGTTGGAATTACAAATATATGTATATTTCAAAATTATATACATGATTTTATTTTCGAAATCATACTAAAATATCGAGTTTAAAATAAATGTTATCGATCTTACAAAACAAAGCTTCGTTACAACTCTATTCAGTTATTGTGATGACAGTAAGCGTGTGCTCTGTACCTTCTCTCCTACCACTATCGTTATCGTTTGCATCGCTCGAGAACGTCACAACTGGAAAACAAATGTATACATAATATGTAGATCTGTATAGATACGTACGATAGATATAGATAAAGTTACATACTAGCCGGGACTTTAGTAGAAAGGTAAATTTGGGTGTATTTATGTATGCATGTAAGTAGAGTGCTGAAAATACTCAGACTTTGAGACCAGTAAAAAGGAAAGATCCGTGGAGCGATTTGGTGGTCTGTCTGAGGGGATTTATAGATACTCTACATATTAAATACAATATGCCCATTGGAGGCTAGCCGTGTGAGTGTATGTGTCACGTCGAACGAACCTCTCCTCCTGTCGTCGTCGCGCCTCCTGAGGCTGCCGTACTTCTTGGTGGGGTCGATGTCGCGGTAGCGGCGGTGGCGGTCGGAGCGGTGTCTGCTGTCCCACTCGTCCTCGTGTCTCCTGTCTCGCTCCGACGCGTTGTGGCGGCGCGACCTCTCGCGCTCCTTGTCCTCGGAGCGGGGAGGGCGCGACGTGTACGAGCCCTCCCTGCGTCTGTTGAAGGCACGTGACGAAACGTCCAGAATTATTTTGTTAGTTTGACTTTTCATTTCTTTTCCCTTACGTCTGCACTGTTAGCCTAGGGGGCGGTTCCAGTTACGCCCGGATGGGTAGGTGACGGTAGGGTTCAGTCTAAGAGAATTTACTAACACTAGCCCTAGCAAGAGCTGTGCTTCGCAGAATCTACCATCGGATCGGAATCGCGACTCACTGAGAAAATCCTGCGAGAAACTCAGTGGGCTGTGTCTATTAGGTTAGTAACTTTTCAGTGCCAACTCGCGACTGCAGTGTATGCAGTGTCACACAGGGCGAGCTATACTGCTCACCTTAAAGCATGAGGTAAAAGTTTCAAATTGCACTGAAATAACGACTTACCCAAAGCCGCTTTAAATATCTCCGAGTTGAAATCTCTGTTATAGGTGCGTCCCTAGCTTTCTGCTCTACATACTGTAAATTTCGATATATTTTATTTTTATTAAATAATTGGAACCTAATCAAGAGAGTGAGACGCTGATGGTTCTCGTTGTTGTATTTGGTTAGAGTGCGTGAGAGAGGGAGTTACCTCCGCTCGCGCTCCCGGTCGCTGTAGTGGTCGGTGTCCTCGGTCTCGTAGCGGCGGCTGCGGGCGCTGCGCCGGTGCCTCCTGGTCTCGGGGCTGTCGTCGCGCTCTCTGCGGTCCTTGTCTCTGCGGCTCTTATCTCTCCGGTCTTCTTTTTCGTACTTCCTATCGCGACTATAGCTGTCCTTTTCCTTGTCCCTTTCCCTGGAAGGCTTGTGTTTGTCTTTCCTTGGAGAGGTTTTGTACGTCCTATCTCTTTCAGAATCTTCTCCTGACGTGACTCTGGTTAAGGATTGCCGTCTAGAACTGGTCGTCGGATGGTTGATAGAATCTGAAGCGTCAGTGTTTCTGTCCAACGCAGCCTCGGTCAGTGTAGTGTCGGCTCCGTCGAGAATCTGTTCCCGCGAGAATGTCATTTCCGTTGAGGATATCACGCTCAGATCCTGTAAATTTTCTCCTTCCATTGTGACTTCCCTCTGTTGTTCTTCAGGTGGAGCTCCGTATTCCGGTGGCATGTCGTTGCTTTCTCGAGCGCCTATTACGTTCCTCGGCTGTGTTCTGAGCGCCTGTTCAGAATAATCGGATCCGTCAACATTTTGTTCTCTAATATCTGAAGGCCCAGCGTCTAAGCGTAACTGAAAATCGTGATCGAAGCCAGTGACGATCCTTTGTTCGCTAACTGCGTAGTTTGTTCCCTGATATTGAGGATAATTGCCAGCTTGATACTGGTCGTTGCTTGGCTCGCCTGGAACCATTCTATCCAAGCCAATTGGTCTTCTTTCGTTTGCTCTGCTAGTAGGAGGCTGTGTGTAATTATCAGGAGTTTGCTGACCGTCTGCCTGTCTGTAAGGGCGACTGCTATTGTCAGTCGGCTGGCCATCGCCGTGACGATCCATGTAATTTTCTCCTGGTGGATTGTAAGCGTTTTCGGCTTCATTCTGTTGCCCTGGGACCATTCGGGCAAAAGATGGTGGAGGCTCTTCACCAGAAATGTTCAAGTTTTGGCTGTATTCAGATTCCTGTTGCCCCACGACCATCCTCCTCAGTCCGGGTGGTGGTGCATTTCCACTAAAATCTGTGTTCTCTCCATAATCACCACTAGAAAGATGCGCTGTTTGTAAATATTTATTTCTATCACTGCGAGGGGCAACCTCCATATTTTCAGGAACGTGTTGTGACGCTGGCGTAGCCCTAAATGCAGACATTTGTGGTTGATCAGGTCTCTCGGAATTGTCTGGAGTAGTCTCTAAGTTGGCCTCAAAGCCTATTGGAGTTCTTTGCTGCGATAATTTGTTTACTACCGATGGTGATGTCAGAACAGTGTTTGATGGTTGAGATGTAAATTGTACAGGTGGTCCACTTGGTGGTTTGGTCATTGATTTATGGGAAAACGGACCAGCGTTTTTAAACGGGTTAGCCGAAGAAGTCGGTAGAGGCAAATTAGGTGGAGGTTGTGAAGATATAGGAGGTGTCATAGAATTATTAGAATTTGAAACTAAACTTAACTGAGGCGGAGGAGGTAATAGAATTCCAGAAATATTTGCTGAAGGAACTGAAGCAGTTGATGAGGCCGAGGATGAAGGGCGTGGTAATGAGCTTGCTGAAGGCGGCCGAGGCTGCATGCTGGAGGATGAAGGTGGTCGAGGAAGAGTAATTGTTGATGAAGGGGGGGGCAAATTGGTAGATGCTAAAGGAGGGGGGAAATTTATAAGTGTAGGCTGAGGAGGTAAATTAGTTGAAACAGGAGGAGGGGGTGGCATCGCTTCAGACTGTGTATGCTGATGTGCCGAATTCGACTCTGCAGGCAACACTGTAGCAGGAGGTTGCAGAACTGGAAAATTATCATATGTAGCATGGGTCTTTTGGTCAACACCAGGATTTTCATGATTACCTAGACTCATTTCTTGCATAGACTTTACAATTCGATCTTCACTTCCTTTTCTACTATTACTTTGTGTACTATCTGGTGGAGTTGGTTCACCAGATATAGACCACTGAGGATGTCCCTCAATCCCGGAGAATGAGTAATTAAAGTTAGAGTTTTCTGTGGTTAGGCCCGGGCTACTTTTATTTGAACTTCTAGATTGATTTTCACTCCTAAATGTTCCCTCAGAATGAGTATGAGGTCCGTCACTAGAATCTTGGGACATTTGTGACTCTATTGACCATTGAGGAGTTAAATTATCTAATTTGAATCTATTGCCTAATTCTAGATTTGGTAATCTTTCTTTTACTGCATCTTTATCACTAAGTCTTATTACTTCATCACCAAATTCTACATCAGGCGCACTACTGTCCCCTAAAGGTTTGAGAGCTACATTGTGCTCTGGTACATGTGCTGTGGATGGATGAAAATTTTGGTTATCTACTCTAGCCGCACGCTGTTGGGCATCTTTTTTTTCTTGTGCTTCTTTTTTTTCTTCAACTGTCCAGTTCCAAGTATCGTTTGTTGCAAAACTTTCCTCAATCACATTAGCATTATGGAAGGTAGGTGGTGGTGGCTGTTGTTGTTGTTGTTGTTGTTGTTGTTGTTGTTGTGCTAGATTCTGTTGAGCTGCCACATTTTGCTTTTGAGCTTGCTTTGAAGCCTCATCCCACCCCCAATCCCAATTATCCTCCCATCCATCAGTATTTTTCTGAGGGTAGCTCTGTGGTTGTACTTGTTGGTCAGGATAGTAATTTTGCTGGTAGCCCTGCTGTGAGTTGAACTGATTGTAGTTCTGATTGTATTGGTTTTGCGGAGGGTAAAACTGGTTGGCGTTGGTCTGATAGTCCTGCTGGTACACCTGAGCATACTGGTTGTATTGCTGCTGCTGTTGTGGCAGTGGCTGTTGCTGCCCAGGCCAGTACTGTTGCTGTGGATTTCCAGGTGGATTTTGATATCCTTGATACATATTCTGCTGATTTCCATGGGTCTGTAAACAAATTAAACTCTTGAATATAAAGCAAAGCTTACATGAGCTAAGGCTACTGCTGTCAAGCTAAAATCGCTTAACCAGCAAATACATTAAGCATTAATGTCACCTTGTCATCTTGCTTAACTTCAAAATTAAGGACATATTTTGTGTGATGGGACATTCAAGTTTTGCTCTGGCAATGGTGCAGTAAATTGTTTTATATTTGGTTTTTATATCATTTTTATACATTTAAAACTCACATTAATTATATTATAAAATATCCAGTATAAACTACAACGCAATAAATATGTGAGTTTTAAGCTTATTTTTTAACTAGTGGTAGAGATTACTTTGATATTCTATAAGCATGTTACATGACATCTAAGTTGAAAATAATGAATTTCAATGTTCTTACCATAAATAATTCACACAATATTTTTAGTAGGTATGTGTTACTTATTGTTACATTTCTATGCTTACTACATCTATTACATCTAAAGTTGTAGGAAAGGGTGACCTTTTGAATTACAGGTATTAGGTAGCATTACCTTTTTGTTTATTTTTTGCTAATGATAATAAGTTTTTTTACTAAGAATAATAGATAGAACTAAGGAGTAGTAGTAACTAGGATAGAACTAAGGAGTACCATCTTGTATAGAGGACAAAATGATAAAGTATCTATCTGTAAACAGCAAGTTATTGTTCGAAGACTCACCAAAACAGCAATAGAATGTAGGAAGTGGAAATGGTATGAATATATCAGTTTTGAACAGAGTGAAGTGTGCTGGATTTCAGTAAATACTATGTTCCGATATACACTGCGAGCACTATTCAGTGTTCTTACTGGGTAGAAATTCATTCAATTAATTGAATAAGTCCTTAAGAACTGACAATATACAGTCGCAGTATCTTAGGGAAATAATTGACATCATAAATCATTGCCATTTTTCTACTGTAAGCACTGCAGGTGTTTTAGAAGTAAGGTGCTCTCAGTGATCAAGTGATCGCTTTTGCCTGCATAACCTCATTTCAGTAATGTTCGTATACATTAAATTGCTTGAAAAACAATATTACTAATAAGTATACATTACTAAATTGACACCTTACAGTGCTATCAGTGCATATTGGAACATAGCCATAGTGTGATGGCCTTCCTTTTACTGAACGCTTTTTAAAATACAGACGGTACTCCTTACTTCTACCCAATTACACATTCTAACTTACATTTTTTATAGCTTTTGTAGCTCTGAGGTCAATTTTAACTAATCACCAATCCAACCCTTATTCAGCACCATTAAGTATTTAATTTTTTCTTTTACTCACAAGATCACAGCAAGGAATGATGGAAAATTATACAGCTTATTTAACCAATCACAGATAAACATTATAAGTTTAAAACATAGGGAAGTATAATTGTTATAAAATTGCAAATTATTCTGGGTGTTCACAATTTAAGACCAGATTACAATCTGCTAGATTTTTTACCAACTAACAGTACTATAATTATATCATGATACATAATAATAATATGTTACAAGTTCATAGGCAGTGAAGCCATATGTTCAAGTATACGCTGTATTCATATAGTATTTAATAGAAAGTGGTGGTCGTTAAACATAGAAAATTAATTTTTTATGTAAAGCCAAAAATCAACATATTTATCAATAATTCTAATTTCGTTTCATAAACCTAGATATGGTATTAAGATCTTTCACAGTTCTACGAGCGAGTGAGTGAGATGTTATGCGTTTCCACGTCATTGTTTACAACGGAACTAACCTGTGCGCTGCTCGCTTGCCCGTGAGGCACATACTGGTGCTGGTCAGAGGCGGGCGGCGGGACAGGCGCGCCCTGTCGCTGCTTCATCCACGACATACCGCGCACTATCACGCCTTACGTAACATTCGCTAGGAAGCCACGGACATATGTTTTAGAAACCAGCCCCGTCACTATCAACAAACCGAAACCAACACAACAGAACTTTCACTATCAGTTTTCGATATATGATCGGATTTAACTGGCACTTTCAATCGCATTAATCAGGATGTTGTTAAGGAAATACAAGGAAAGTTACCGTCGTTTCTCTAAACGATTTATTTTGGGAATATTTTTCACATAATTTGTTGACAGCAGCCCATCGATCGAAGGTGCCCTGTTGGCAGTGTAGCCATTCTTACGAAATTATAATCATGAATGTCATGGATTGTCATTATTACTGTCATGCATTCTTGAAAGGATACCTATGCCACATCAATAAATGTCAACAGGGCTTAGGGCAAGTCAGACGGATATATTTTGCCCAGCTGCAGATAGCAGTAGTTTCGAGAGACTATTCTGGCTTCGCCTTGTTTGGTGAGCGAGCTCACGGGGCTCAGCCTGCATGAATTGGCTAAAATCTGCCCATACAAAAGCAGCGCTTCGCAAATTTACCACTGGATAGAATCACGACCTACTCAGAAGACCTGGCAGAAAACATTGTTTGTTGTATTTCTGGGTCAAGTTGCACGTTGATTTCTGAAAATGGTAACCGTTGCTTGAAATTCCTAAAAGCACCAAGAAGGAATCCAGAACTTCGATCAATAATAGTACTATTATTGGTCGAAGATCCAGAATGATATGTTTGGAGCAATAGTGGCTAGGTATTCGTTGCTCCGTTATCTGGATCTGGGATGCAGCTCGCTCAGAGTGATTTGAGAAGATAGTTAAACATAAAGTAGATTGAAGAAAGATGCATATGTTTTCCAACGAAGACATTTGATCTGTATCTAATGTAATGAGCGTGGTAAGGTTCAAATCCTGAAGTAAATGGTTATTCTACCTGGAGAGGCCTTTGGCAGGATTAGAAGACTAGGAATCGAGTGTGTGTCATAGGATGATGACCAAGAGATGATTGCTGCGCGCGTCGTAGTTCGATACATCCTGCAATTGAACCAATTAAAATAGAGGGAAAATAAAAAATAAAATAAATAAATAGGTAAAATAGAGGAAAAGTGGCGATTGCTTGTGAGGCGCATAGCCTCTGCCCACAGCAATAATGGCGACCATGACTAAAGGGATACGACAAATATAGGAAAAATTTTAGTACCTCGGCCTCATTCTAAGCTATAGTTTTTGGACTTATCGCCTTCATTTTATGTAAGTGATCCTTCGGTTGTTTGGTGAGACGAATGCGTTAGGACAGATATTTTTCTTTTTGGTAAAGTGGTCCACTTTCCAGTTGGTACAAGCGCTGACCAAGCACGCTTCAAACAGTACCCATTGGAACTGCGTCATCGAGCCAGGGATTAAATAGCCTCCTAAATGTTTGGTTGACGTGAGTAGTTTTTTTTAACAACTTTTAATTAATCAGACCTTAGACATTGTGGATTAAAAAGTCGAAGGACTCTTTGGCGGAAACGCGGCAAGTGAAGTAGTGTGAATTGCTTAATTCATTAATTTAGTGTTCTTGAAGCTTGAATGTATTATATAATAATGGTACAAAAAAGAAAAAATTCAAAATACTTTGTCCACTGAGTTTCTCGCCGGATCTTCTCAGTAGGTCGAGTTTCTGATCCGGTGGGAGATTCTACGAAGAGCTGAAGAGCTGCTCTTGCTAGGGCCAGTGTTAGCAACACCTTTATTAACTGTTGAACATCTGTGAAAGCTCATACCTAAATGCGGCCAAAAAGTAACTATACTTGAGACCTTAGAACTTATATCTGAAGGTGGGTGGCGCATTTACGTTTTACATGTCTATGGGCTACAGTAACCACTTAACACCAGGTGGGCTGTGAGCTCGTCCACCCATCTAAGCAATAAAAAAAAGTCCACTGTAAAATTCTCAATAAATAACCACCACCATTGTTTCATTTAATTTCATCTTAATTAGGTACTTAAAGTCTCAAATTAATCAACTTCTCCTCATTTCGCCTCATATCATTTTTACAAAACAGAATTAAAGCAAACGCAGACTTGGCTTAAAGGTCTTATAACCGGGCCAAAAACTCTGTTATTACAAAATGTTAAAATATTCAATTAATTCAAGCAAACATCAAAATCTATGTCCTGTTCATAGATTATACACTTAATATATTTGGTCCTGTTTTTATTTGATGATTGATTGTTACCTGTTATGCAGTTATTGCACAGTTATTGCAATAAGATTAATAAAAACGTACATTCATCGCTACAATACGGTATCATACACATCAAGTCTATTATGCAGAGTTATTTGAATAAAAAGTTATGAGTGTATCTAGTGATCTTAACATGTCAAGCTATCAACTATAAATAATTTCGTCAACATGACAAAACGAACGAACCCTTTTATCGATGATTTTCTTCCGCAAAGTAAAATTCATGTTAGTTTAAAAAAGTACGATAAACACAGCACAGACAATGAAAAACGACTGAAGAAAGTTTATGGTAAAAAAACCCTTAACTATTTAATTTCTAACTGGTACACGCGATCTAAGTTAATATTCTCATTTTCAGAAAAAACCCTACAAATGTTATTTAATGGCGCCAAAAAGGGTACAACTACTGAAACCAACAACAACTTGCAGGATAGTAAAGTGAGAAAAGACAAAAAAAAACAATTATTTATCGGCAAAGATGGCAATCTACTACATTCTGGTTGTCTGGTAACTATGCTACATAACTTAAAGTCTTTCTGTAAAACTTTATATTATCTTATGTGTTTTATACAATATTAACCCATTTGCACCTATGGACATTTGCGTGATGACCTGTGTGTATGGGAGTAGGCTATATCGTTGTCAGCGTGATACCATTTGACCATGAGCCTTACGATGTTTCTATTTTCACTCACATTGCACATCAATCACACTTATCTCATGTTCTAGTTTGTTTGCAATTATTTTTTAAGCAATCTGGGCAAGAATCACTCTAGTCTCCTTCAAGCTGATAGTGGCTAATATTTAACTGTTATTTAACTGTATATTTTTAACACAAAGTTATACAAACACAAATATTTGAAAATATATATATTTTTTTGTTGTTGTTTGTATATAAAACAAGTTTCTTCTGTATTCTATTTGAAAATGAAAGTGTTTATATTGTACAAAATTACAATGTAACAAAAAATCTTAGTATAATTAGGTAATGTAAATTCTGTGTGTAATTACCTAATTACACACAGAATTTAGCTAAGCACAAGATGCACACTTTCTGGAGGAGTGCTCCATACAGTACTGCTACCGGGGGTATGGTAGCCTGTTCAGCAGTGTCACTCCGACAGTTCACACTGCTGTAGCGAAAGGGTTTAACCAGTAATTAACATTATTATGGACTGGGAATCTCACTCAACATCATTTATTAATGTTATTTCAAATTGCTTTTTGTTTTTTTGTAAACAATTCATGCCTTTGTATGAACCTACCTATATGAAAGAACAGGGTCTAAAAAGTAAAGATTTGAGTGTTGACTCAGTGCATACTTGCCCATATTCTTTTATTACAGATAAGTATCATATTAATTACCCATATTTCCAGACTGATCTTGTAATCCATTATGTACATTGTGTAAGCTACTGGCAACCTCAACATGAATCGCCTACATCCCTCTCTTGAAACTAATGCTTTAAGCAAATGATAAAATGCAGTGAAATCGTAAAGTTCAACCCCCACTTTAAAGCAACATATTTAACCTTTACTGATATAGCCTCCTAGTCCCAATCAATAAAATCCTGGTTATACTTGGGAATTGTGACATCAAAGATAATCACAAATAAAATACTTGACCGCAACATCAATAAAAATAAAGTCCCAAAATAGTTTCAACTCATTAAATAATTTAAGAATATATATATCTCATTGCAGATAGAGACCCAATCAATAAGAAAAAACTGTCATTGCGGTGTTACATCAGAGACCAAGTGTGCATATTGTGAATTTGTACTATGTGATTCATGTCTCCACACCTGCGCTGGTTGTGAGCAGGTTTACTGTAACAAATGCTTGTTTGTAGGGTAAGATATATTATTAGAATATATATTATAGGGGGGGGGTTCTTCCATCTGTTATTAAGCAGTTTCTCGAGTCTGTGGATTACTGCCATCTTGAAATGATTTAATTGTACTGCATGTTAATGAAATGGTTGTGTGCTTTATTTGACTGTCAGTAATTAATTAGTCAGCTTGATGAAACTAATATTGAAGTAAACATGTCTAAGTACAGTAAACATGTTGCAATATTAAATTGTCCAAATATATTGAGGGTGAAAGGCTATAAGGTTTAAGTGACATTTTTGCTAGTTTACAGGAGAGCCATTTTAATTTTATAATTTGGAAAAATATCGTACAAGAAAATAATTCAGCTCATAGACATCTACAACGTAAATGCGCCACCCACCTTGAGTACCTCACCTCAGTATAGTGACTGCTGCCCCACCCTTTAAAACGAAACGCATTACTGCTTCACGGCAGAAATAGGCGGGGTGGTGGTACCTACCTGTGTAGACTTACTAGAAGTCCTACCAGTAATTACGCAAATTATAATTTTGCGGGTTTAATTTTTATTATTCGATGTTATTCCTTCACTGTGGAAGTAATCGTGAACAGTTGTTGAGTACGTATTTCATTAGAAAAATTGGTACCCGCCTGAGATTCGAACACCGGTGCATCTCTCAACACGAATGCACCCGACTTTTTATCCTTTAGGCCACGTCGACTTCAGATGTCAATATGGTATTATGTTTATTGCTGGACTAACATTAACGGCGGTACCATCTGTTGTCCAGGCATGCAGCTGTTGGCTTCCAGGACGGCCCCAGCCAGCAAGACAGGCACAGGACCGACTTGCATATTACAAGTATACATCCCACCTCATGTTTCAGTAATATTATCATTGTTTTATTTTATTTCAGGTCAGAAGGTTCTGAAATCTGTGTATCCTGTTATAGTTAAAATATCTTCATAGAACTATAGGAGAGACTTACCTTTATAATATATTAATGAACAGACATGTTGTTATTGTAATTAAATAATTTAATAATAAAAAAATTAAAGTTACATCATAGAACCANACATCCCACCTCATGTTTCAGTAATATTATCATTGTTTTATTTTATTTCAGGTCAGAAGGTTCTGAAATCTGTGTATCCTGTTATAGTTAAAATATCTTCATAGAACTATAGGAGAGACTTACCTTTATAATATATTAATGAACAGACATGTTGTTATTGTAATTAAATAATTTAATAATAAAAAAATTAAAGTTACATAATAGAACCATGTTTATGTGTCAAAATAAAATTGCAAGAAAAAAACAAACCAGAAACATTATTTATTAATGACCCTGGACCTTAGTACGGATTAGGGTTGGACTGAAATGAATAGTATTTTTAGATAAATAATTGGTTTAATCCGCAAAGTAATATTAGTTGCTCGTGTTGGAGGGTTGACTGTTATGTCTGGTTGTGCTGAATGTGTACGAGCAGACTGACGGGCCGAACGCTGGCAGCCTATTTTGTAAGCTAAATTTTAGATGTCCAACGCTGAAAGCTGCGCTCGTCTTGTTTTTGATCTCGAACTTAATTAATTTTATTTATTTTTATCTTGTGTACAGCAGCTAGTTACACACATATTAAACAACAAATATCGCATTTAGATGTTTAAAAATAATATGAGACGTTCATAATTTCGAAGAATAAAGATTGTTTTGTGCACAGTCGTATGGCATCATACGAATTCAACTTGTTTATGTTTCAGTAACAAAAACAATGTTTATTAAATTTACCCATGTAGTCGGAGTAATATAACTCATGTGTATAACATTTAGCCGACGCACATCTGTTAATTGAAATGCATATAATAATATGTATATAATAAAAAATATTATTTTCCACTTCTTTAACATTGTTTTTATTTTGTGAATCGTCGCTTCGATGATAATGAATGAAATAAACATTTAATGTCTGTTTATAACACATTTCGGAAATAATACCAGGAAATAATTCTTAGTTTTTTTTTTTTTTTTTTTTTTTTTTTTTTTTTTTTTTTTTTTTTTTTTTTTTTTTTTTTGTTTTTTTTTTTTTTTTTNCGAGCTCACAGCCCACCTGGTGTTAAGTGGTTACTGGAGCCCATAGACATCTACAACGTAAATGCGCCACCCACCTTGAGATATAAGTTGTAAGGTCTCAGTATAGTTACAACGGCTGCCCCACCCTTCAAACCGAAACGCATTACTGCTTCACGGCAGAAATAGACAGGGCGGTGGTACCTACCCGCGCGGACTCACAACAGGTCCTACCACCAGTAATTACGCAAATTATAATTTTGCGGGTTTCACTTTTATTACACGATGTTATTCCTTCACCGTGGAAGTCAATCGTGAACATTTATTGAGTACGTATTTCATTAGAAAAATTGGTACCCGCCTGCGGGATTCGAACACTGGTGCATCGCGCTCAACGCGAATGCACCGGACGTCTTATCCGTTAGACCACGACGACTTCTATTCATTCTTTTCATTTCTTTCATTTCTTCTATTCGAGTTTTTTCAATGGACATCGGTTCTTATTCTTATGTGGTTTTGAATAGAGGGAATATTAAAATTTACTTATTTTTTGTGCAAGGTTAAAATAAAAGTAGTAAAAATAAATAGATTATATAAAAAACTGCTGTTTTTTATTAAATGTGTTACCAACAACCAATTGAAACTTAAGGAAACATTTTCACATTTTTAATAATAAAATTTTGGTAGTGCTCACGTCAAATCTAACCTGAAATCTGAGGTTCACCCATAAACATGAACACAAAACTTTGCTTAGTAACTAAACATCAAAATCAGCACCTATATTCTATTTCTAATACCCTTATCCACATAAACAGTAAAATTTCTTACTATTTTAAGCATCACGGTTCTTCTGTTATAAAATGTATGTAATGTTTTGCTTAATCATAAATATTACAACCCCCCTCCCCAAATTAACCTATTGAATGTTAGAAGCTGGTAACAAGGCGAGCCGTCTGTAAGTCACGCGAATCGCTTGTAATAGGGGATTCCGTGCGTAATTTCGGGACTTACTAAAGTGCGGCAGATACAGGGCGGTACCTTGTACCCAGTTAAGGACCTCCACCAAATATGAGCCCCATATATATAGCCGCCCGTCAAGGATAAAGGATCAGCTTAGTAAAAGAAAATTGATCATAAGAAATTCTCGATCAGTCAGATCGTCAGATTAAGATAGGCCGAGAACATTATATGCTAATAAGTGTATACCTATTTCATTAATCCGACAATTTGAGTGACGTAAAGAAAGGGGAGGGTTACGTCATATAATAATTCAAGGTTATCGAAAAATATATAATCTGACGATTTCCCAAAGATTCGTAAAGTTTAATGCGTGCAGTCGCGTACTGCGTTCCGGCGTCCGTATTCCTTTTTTATGTTATAAATACAAGTATTCTTTTTATTTGTATGCAATTCCGGAGCTTTTCATGTAGGTATAAATATGTTTTGTTTAATCGTCATATTAAGCGAATTAGTCCAAATTATCGTGAGATTAAGAGGCAGCACGTCTAGGACATAAAGATGAACCATATATATATATAAAAATCTGATGCGCTTGAGTATTTCAAAATGGCGAATTTTTTGCACATTTTAATAATAGCCTCGAGTTTGCGTAACATCCAAATCGTCAGGTTTTTGAGAGCTTTTAGGTTCACTTAACATCCTCTTAGAAAATCTGACCGATCAAAAGGTATACATTAAATAACAGTTTTTTTCTTTTTATTATCTAAGCTTTACAACCCAATAGGTATCTTGACGGTCGAATAAGTCTCCATTTAGCATCGTGGGCTCCCCTACTATTGTCTAAAGGTATGGGTTAAAAGTTAAACCGGATCTTAGCTTAAGCTACATAGCAATAAGGCAATATCGGCTTGAAAACTTGTAAAAATATTAAAAATATAATCAAATCGTAATAATCGGCATTTCGGAATGTGCAATAGATACGTTTGTGACTTCGATCAACAATAGTAACTAGATAAAGGGATACGTACAAAATTAAAGCAAAAACTGTCCGCGTGAATATATACTTATATAGCTACATTCGTTTACTAACAAACGGAGAAAAAAGTTTTGAAACACTTTTACGTTCAAACTAATAACAACTATGGCACCTAGTAATAAAGTCACAAATCTCCAAAACATTATCTAATACTTACGATCATTCGTCACATAAAACGAGCAAAGCAATAAATTACTCCTGTCACTTACCAATAAAAAGACATATTTTAAACAACTTTTAATGTTAAATCAATCTTAAGGTGCAACAAATAAAGTAACTTTTCCCTTAATTGCTCTGAGAACTAACATCGTTTTGCTTTATTTATTTTTGCTTCTTGAAATGCCGATTTCTATTTACTACAGGAGGTAAGGGAGTCGCGCTTAACACTAAAATAATTTATTAATGAATTAAAGTAAAAGTTTAGTTGTTTACTTTTTATGTTTTGGAAATGTATGTTTGTTAGTATCTATACATTACTTATTATTTTATTAGCGTTACGTTTTTGTGTAATATATATTTTTAAGTTTTCGCGACCAGTGCACATAATAAAACAACGTTTAAACGGTTTCAAGCGTGGTATTTTTATTACAATGTTTCGGCCACATTTCAGTAGCCGTGAGCACGGAAGGCAAAGATGTCCAGTGTCAATAAGCGGAGTTCTTAGCTGGCTTATAAAAGTCATCTCTTGTTTCTCTGGCGACAATCGAGATCCATTCTGCACACGTGATTGCTAGGAAAGCTAAAATAAAAATGGAAAGCTAAGTATCTAATGAGAGTCCAACAAACAGACACAAAAGCAGCATTAACCAATTTTAACCAACTAATTTTGAAGTGCTGCTAACAAATTTTAAAAAATTATTACAACACAAATCTACTCCATGCATTTACTGTTCTGTTAAGCAAAAGTTTGTCCATGTGTTGGCCGAGCCTTGGCCAACATTTGTAGCGGTGGTTAAAAATCGGTAATTTTGTTCAAAATTTAATATTATTTATAAGTTTAAAGCTTACAATATAGTTTATACTTCATGTACTTACCGAAAGTAAGATACTCCGGCCGTTAAATTGCTTTTTCGGGCCTTATTTTTGCAACTTTTGAATACACACTGCGGTATTGTGAGACGGGTTGACATTGGCTGTGTTTGAAGTGAACTAAACAAAATAAGAGCTCACATTTCAAGTGCGCTGTTATTTGACGAGACGGATTTTATGCACCGACCCGAAATCTAGTTACTATTGTTGATCGAAGGTTTGTGACTTTGTTTCGAATCCAATGTTGATCTGCTATTGGTGGCTATAGCCACAACCGCGTGCAGTGTGCTTAGTGCGAGTTTTTTAACGTTCTCGATAGCGTAAAAGTTAACTCGAATTTGTATGGAGTTGGAACCGTTTCTCTTCGTTTGCCGCTAGGTCTAGAAGATTGAGAAGATCAAAAATTCGCACTAAGCACACTGTACACTTGTAGATGCCCTTTGAATGTTTATTAACCATACACATTGCATGGATTTTTCCAAAATTTTTTACATGCATACTTAACATACGTAAAGATATACATATATATATAATTTTACACAATTACTAAATTAAAATATGAAAATTGTATTCATGAACCAAATTGGTGGCAGGCCTGTTTCCATCGGTTCTGTGTGCTTAGTGCGAGTTTTTTAACGTTCTGGATGGTGTAAAAGTTAGCTCATATTTGTATGGAATGGGATCGTTTGCTTACGTTTGCCGCTAGGGGCGCTGTTCCAACTGCATACAAAATTGGCTTAACTTTTACGCTATCGATAACGTTAAGGAACTCGCACTAAGCACACTGATGGTGTCGATGATTAAAACAACTGAGAGCGAGGTATAGGGTTATTTTTACAAATATCTATCTATTTATTTGATAAATAAATGGCTTTCAAGTGACATCAGTAGGGCGTTATAAAAATACAAAGTATAGTTGAGAGCGTGACCGCAGTACATTCATGCACCCAATAGTCAGTTCATAATTTGTTAGCAAATCTCTGCTTAGCTACTGATGCATAAAATGAATATTAGGTTTGCTGCAACATAGTTCAATATTCATGTGAAATGTAACAAAAAGATTTGTTTCCAAAATCTCACAATTCTCGTCGAACTCTTTTGGTCAAATTGTAGCGGTTATTAGTTTGTCAATAAACAAATGGACCGTGAGGAGACAAGATACACGCTCTGTTAGAGTGGAGTAGCCTCGCGGGACCAGACCGGTGTCGGCACTGCGCTCGCGGCGTGCATACATCCTGTACCTACGAGCAGGATGGGGCGGAGGTCTAACTGGGACATCGGAGTTGGGACGGAATTAAATTGACCTTCATTTTTGAGCCCAGGGCTGAAAATGTGTACCCGAAAATCTCCAAGCATTTTGTATACAAAATGTAAATACGATCTTATCCAAAATCTTTTTGTTACATCTGTTATTTAATCTACGGTTTACATCCGTTCGGTCTCTTTACATATTTTATCCAGACTTTTAAATGGAATTGAAAATGCTCGTCACAGGGATCGTTTGCGTTACAATAACTATGCTAACGAAGGTTTGTGTTGTACTCGCACTGCTTCGAAATGCCATTCGACGTGTACGACCAACACGAAGGTTTAAACTATTATGAAATTTTACAATAAATTATCGTTTAAGAACTGGTTTTGATGATCGCGATAGCTTTGTTCAAACTACCTTAAATTACAATCATATTATTATCAAGAGATTAAATAAATACTTTAATATTTGACAATAAGACAAAAAAAGTTTAACTTAACAGCGCAATGTCAACGATCCCGCGTTTTTTTTAAATTATCATTTAGAAAAGTGAAACTCCTTTGAGCCTAGTCAAAGTAAAAGAGTAGTATCGAATTTTATTCTATACGAGTTTTAAACGGAATGGAAATTAGTTATCTCTGTGTAGTCATAGGAGTTTCGCTTTTGTAACGAGAAACGACTGTTCTATTTTTTTTATAAAATTCGTGTCATCGTACATATCAAAAATACAAAGTAGTGAAGTAGCGAGTGTCGGGCGAGCGTGTTGCCTAGACAAACAGGTACCTGTAGAGCAGCGTGGCCGCCACGCCCAGCAGCAGCGGCGTCAGCCAGGAGCTCCAACTGCCGCCAACATTGCACATTAGATTAGATTATATCAATCGAACAATTATCCAGAAAAACAAAAATACTCAAATTAAAGATGTAGTGCTTCTGTGCTCATCTAAGGTTTACACGTTTTTTATTTATTTTGTTTTTTTATTGCTTAGATGGTTGGACGAGCTCACAGCTCACCTGGTGTTAAGTGGTTACTGGAGTCCATAGACATCTACAACGTAAATGTGCCATCCATCTTGATATATAAGTTCTAAGATTTCAGTATAGTTACAACGGCTGCCCCACCCTTCAGACCGAAACGCATTATTGCTTCACGGCAGACTTCAGAAATAGGCAGGGCGGTGGTACCTACCCGCGCGGACTCACAATAGGTCCACCAGTAAATATATTCAAATGATTAAATTGATATAATGAATTTAATAAGTTTCCTATTTAGAATTGCGAGTTGAGTTAAGACCAAACCATATATACTTAGTCTGGCCATAAATACTGTTACAATTAAAAATAAACAAAATATTACATTTGAATTTGGAATCTGTCATTTTTATATGATTGCTCATTGAATTTTCTTAGTTTGGCGCCAATACATTGTACAATATTTTGCGATATTAAAATGGAGTGGGGTGATAAAGAGAACAGAATCGCTGTGATTGCATTACACAAAGTAGGTGTGGAGCCAAATGCAATTTTTAAAACTCTCCATACGCTTGGTATTAGTAAAATGTTTGTGTACCGGGCTATTAATAGGTGCAATGAGACCTCGTCTGTTTGTTACAGAAAAAGATCTGGCCGCCCACGTAGTGTTCATACGAAAAAGGTGGTCAAAGCAGTAAGGGAAAGAATTCGAAGAAATCCTGTCCGAAAGCAAAAGATTTTATCTCGGGAGATGAACATAGCACCTATAACCATGTCGCGTTTTTTAAAAGGTGACTTAGTACTTGCAGCCTATAAGAGACGTACTGGTCATTTCTTAACTGATAATTTAAAAGAGAATAGTGTGGTAAAATCGAAACAACTACTGAAGCGGTACGCAAAGGGAGGTCATAGAAAATTTTTGTTTACGGATGAGAATTTTTTTACAATTGAGTAACTTTTTAACAAACAATGACCGTATTTATGCTCAAAGCTCTAAGGAAGCTTCCCAATTAGTCGACAGAGTGCAACGTGGGCAATATCCGACTTCAGTGATGGTTTGGTGGGGTAGGTACCTATTAGTTATGAAGGAGTGACTGAGCCATACTTTTGTGAAAAAGGTATCAAAACATCGGCACAAGTGTATCAAGATACCATTCTTGAGAAGGTAGTGAAGCCCCTTAACAACACCATGTTCAATAATCAAGAATGGTCCTTCCAGCAAAACTCGGCGCCGGGTCATAAAGCTCGGTCTACGCAGTCTTGGTTGGAAACGAAAGTTTCGGACTTCATCAGAGCTGAAGACTGGCCGTCGTCTAGTCCCGATCTTAATCCGCTGGATTATGATTAGTTTTAGAGAGTACAGCTTGCTCTAAACGCCATGATAATTTGGAGTCCCTAAAACAATCCGTACGATTGGCAGTGAAATTTTTTCCCATGGAAAGAGTGCGTGCTTCTATTGATAACTGGCCTCAACGTTTAAAGGACCGTATTGCAGCCAATGGAGGCCACTTCAAATAAGCTTTTTATACTTTAAATTGTTTTATATTTATGTATTAAACTAACACACTGTAAAAATAATAAATGTTATTTGCAATGGAATTTTTTTTTTCTTTGTCTCAGTATTTATGGCACGACTAGGTAATAATTAACACATTTTACAACAAACGTGGTTGTTACATAGTAGGTATCGTCAGTAAAATTACTAGAATACAGAAATCAAAAATAAACTATCTTTGTTTGAATATAATTAGTAGAGATGACTGGGGGATGATGTAATGATTCCAAGGGTCGAAGTGTTGGGAATTTGCCCAGTTAGTATAAATTTGAGATAAAACTACTGGCCGACAAAGCGTATATATTTGACAGACATTTAATAAAATAAACATCAAAACTGCACTTTAAATGTCTTGGGATTTTGTCTTGTATTGAGTTGGAAAGTTTATGTTCATTTTGTCAAAGTCTTCCCTTTTTGACTGACCACATCGTCACGCGCAGTGAGGATTAGAAAATACTATACTGGTACATACTTGACATGAGACTTTGAAACTGTGAAACAAGTTTTGACAAACAACATCAGTCGTCCATGACCACGAAAACTGTCAAAAGTGTTGGGATCCTCGAGTCGGTAGCGTCGAGTGAGGCTCTGTGTGCTTAGCGCGAGTTTTTTAATGTTCTCGATCGTGTAAAAGTTAACTAAAACTTGTATAGAGTTGGAACTTTTGCCACTAGGGACGTTCTTCAAACTGCATACAAATTGAGTTAACTTTTACGCTATCGAGAACGTTAAAAAACTGGTACTAAGCTCACAGTCGCACAGCTCACATGTACATTTATCTGAGAATATGTTACTATTTTGAGCGGAAAAGTTCAATTGAAGGTTATGTTGAAGATAAATTTGTAGCGACGCATCTTGTAATAAAAACATATGACCTGTGTATGCGGAACATTGACGTATTAAAAACCGAGTGTTTGGTGACTTTGAAGATTCGATTGCTACTTTTGTTTGAGACTGTGCATCTTGAGTTTTTATATTATGATATTATATTATACAATGATGCGAAACAACAATTAACGGCAAAAACATTTAACGAAGCGAATATAATTTTTATTGCTCCATTGTCTTTTAATTTTTTATTTCATACAATTTTTAACCGATTTATAAGCAAAACAATGGGAATTACAAATTTATCTTCTGATCTTCTGATCAGTGCAGCCCGCTAGTTTGTTGACGCTAAGTAATGAATCGAAAATAAAATAATGAATAAGTTGTAGAAGAATGAGGAGTGTAAAATGAAAAGTCAGAAAAAGCACATGTATCTTCGTTCAAAACAAGGAGAAGGAGCATATGAAATGAAACTAAATGAGATTTGTGCGATACACTTTATTAGGTACATTCATTTACTTACGAATACATAAAGATCAAATATACACGTAATGAGCACCGAAAAGACTAGGCGTGGCATATAAGCAACTTATCTCATAAGCGATATTCTAAATACACTTCATACCATGGATCCAACCAATATATAAATTTTATAACTACATTTTATCCATGAAAATTTGAATGTTAACATTTAATTGTGGCCTCGGGTTTTACTGTAAATGGTCTTTTTTACTACATTATGTAATAATTGTAAGTGTACGAATGTTCAGAGCCATGTGCTTCTAATGACGGTGTACTGATAAAGTGTTTTGGTTATCCAATTTTCCATTTAAACGAGAATATCTCTGTAGGATGTAAAGTTTCTTCGAGATTTATTCCTTACGAAACGGGAAGTTTATATTACTTCCGACGACATCAGCGGAAATCTTTCAAAAACCAATAGATATATTATCCCGTACAAGGATTTCAAGCAACAAAAATATTTTAATAAAAATTGGATAATCAAAAACAATTATTAATGAAGAATGGAATGTTCTAAGAGAGAAGAATTTAGTCTTTTATTTTTAGTTATTCGACTTGAAACGTATTATTACGTAAATGGACACAGCCATAGTTGATTATAATATAAACATAACTATTTTATTAATTAATTAATTAATGTTTAATATGAGCAGGTATAATACTTATAATGAGATTATAACTTGAAAATATGAAAAATAATGTAATAGGAATATACTATTCTAGCAGCATTGCCTCTAAATAAACTGCCAACTTCACTAATATACTGGGACATTCTCGAAATGAGAACTGGGGTAGGGTACTTGAATGAAAGAGGAACGGATTGTTCTGAAGCAATCCTGAAGGATAAAAATGATTTATTTAATAGTTGTGATAATCAAAACGATTAAAGTCAACATTCAAATTCCCTTCTTTATTGAATGTTTATGTTGCGATGTAGTTGTGCAGTGAGTTGACACGAATCTAACCAGATAACAGGAACGAACATACAAAACTGATTGTCACCCTCTAGTATCCATCATTTTATTTATTTGGCGCCATTAAGATAAACAGCCCATATTTTATGTAATGCTATAGCATCTCTTATCGCTGCGTCGGGTGAAGGAGTAGAGGTCGAGCGCGCCGCCCCCGCCGTGAGACACAGGCGAAGTCTCTATTGTGTCGGGTGACGGTTGTCCGCCCCCAAGTTACCACGAAAACTATACAAATTTATAGATTTTGCATATGTTTAAAGGAGCCTTTTTCGATGTCTAAAGTACTGGCGGGCTATATTTTATTCAATGCAAAACAGTTAACATACTTCTAGGCGATTTTGTTGTATACACGACGACGCCCCACTAGGAGCTCTAGACGCAGCTCTGCACGCGTCGGTCAACACTAAGCAAAGTGAACCTTAGAGGCTTCGTCAAACAGAACGCGCGCTATGACGCCGAGATGTGTTGTACTACTATGGTAACATACCGTCAAACAGAGCACCAGCGCTAGCAGTACGCAACGCTCTGTCGTGGCGTTACGACGCTTTGACGTCAGGCGTTGTAATTTTTTACAAATTTTATTTTAGCGTCCGAGTGAATGTGTATTAAAATACTGGATAATGCCCAAAAAAAATTGATAGAATTAGTTAGAAAATACCCACGTTTATACAATGCCACATCTGAATCACTCGACATCTTAATACTTTTAAATTTTCACACTGCTATCGAAAGGCACTATGATTTGGCGTGACGTTGCGTCAAGGAGCGTTGCGCTTATCTAGTCAATTTGTGTGACATGTATAGAGCGCGACGTTAAAACGCAGCGCTAAGTACGCGTTCTGTTTGACGAAGCCTATAGTTCGTACGGTATGGGTTCCCGTTATTTAGCTATAGAACGGTTATGTACAAGGCGCGCGTGTGGGTCCGCTAGTTGATTACGCACTTGCCCTGCTCCTGCGCCTGCTCGTTGGTCCACTGCGGGCTGAAGCCGGCTCGGGTCTGCACGCGGTCGCTCTCCACCAACTCCCCGATCTTGTACTTCTTCATCAACGATCTGAAATTAAAAGCAACTTCACCAATTTGTTTTGTGTTAATGCGGGCCAATGTCCAAGAGTAACTCGAGATAAAGAAACATAAAACTCTAGCACAAACACAAACTTTTTTTTTATTTTTTTATTGCTTAGATGAGTGGACGAGCTCACAGCCCACCTGGTGTTAAGTGGTTACTGGGGCCCATAGACATCTACAACGTAAATGCGCCACCCACCTTGAGATATAAGTTGTAAGGTCTCAATTATAGTTACAACGGCTGCCCCACCCTTCAAACCGAAACGCATTACTGCTTCACGGCAGAAATAGGCAGGGAGGTGGTACCTACCCGTGCGGACTCACAAGAGGTCCTACCACCAGAGTTTATGTAATCATTATATTATTAGTCTGTTTTCCTTAACTAGGGGAGAGTTACCAAAGATAGAAAAACAACAATGGAAGTTAGAGGAGGAATATGCCAATAAGCACACAGAGCTGAGAGGCATTCTGTAAAATATAAAAAACTAGCGACCCGCCCTCGCTTCGCTTCGGAAACATTAAAACACACATGAAACCAAAAAAATAAAATATTTTTTTTTTAAAAAGTAGCCTATGTTCATCAGGGACAATGTCGGCTTCTAATGGAAAAAGAATTTTTCAAATCGGTCCAGTAGTTTCGGAGCCTATTCGAAACAAACAAACAAACAAATCTTTCCTCTTTATAATATTAGTATAGATTCAGTCATTAGTCCAAGTTCAGGACAAAGGGCAAAATCTGTCTTAAAGTTGTCATGTAAAATTGGATTCTGAATAGATTTAAAATAGTCTCTAATAGTAAACAATCTAGCCTCGTCTTCATATTTTACCGAATATTACAGATGGTTTGGATTAGCAAGATCACACGTTAATAATGAGCCATTATTTTTTTTACAAAAAAATGTTGGTAATGTTTTAAGCAATTCATGGTCATCGTGTTGTGCGTTTATTCAAGTTATAAATGTTATAGCCACAAAAACATTGTAAGACAATTTAACTGGGCGGTGGCGATAGTTGACAATGAGAATAAAATGAAATACATAATGCTCCACATTGCCCTATCATATCAGCATGCGGGCGCGCGAGACCCGGCGATACACTCTCGCATTCAACAGCAAAACGCAGCGGAATTCATCGCTACGTCATTTTATAAATCATTTCGTGGATGTTGCCTTCACGAAAATGTTTAATGATGTTTCCTAATCTATATATATAAAAGAAAGTCGTGTTAGTTACACTATTTATAACTCAAGAACGGCTAAACTGATTTGGCTGGAAATTGGTGGGGAGGTAGCTTAGAACCAGGAGAAGGACATAGGACACTTTTTATCACGTTCCCGTGGGACGTGACATGAAACGTGGTATAACAAAATGAAACTAATATGGAATAACAGAACGAAACTGACAGCTAAACGTAATGTAGTCTATGATTAATTATAAGAGAATTTTGAAGTTGACCGGTTGATGTATTTGTTTCGAGTTTCTATCAGCTCATTGTGCCGAGATAGGTAATCATTAAGAAAGCCATGCCGGGACAAATAAAAAATTGACCTTGATAAAATCAAAAGTCTGCTCATTTATTGNATAAAAAATTGACCTTGATAAAATCAAAAGTCTGCTCATTTATTGGCTCTAAGGCGGAACAAAGTTCGCCGGGTCACCTAGTAACATATAATATCGTTTATTGTCAATTTATTCAAATCAAATGTTGTCGGCTTATGTCCAGCAGTGGACGACTGGGATGCTAATGATGGTTGACAATTTTAGTTGAGTGGTAAAAGACCGCGACTACTGAGCCATGGGATCCGGTTTCGATTACCTGTGAGAGTCAGTAGATATGTATTTTGTTTTCGTGATCAAGTATGTTTAGTGCGAGTATTTTATCGTTCTCGATCGCGTAAAAGTTAGCTGAAAATTGTATGGAGTTGGAACGTTTGTCTACGTTTGCCGCTAGGGGCGGTGTACCAAAGACATACAAATTTGAGTGAACTTTTACGCGATCGATAACGTTAAAAAACTCGCACCAAGCATGTTTATTAATTTAATTTACTCAAACATCCTCATTCGGATAACGAACGATAAGGTTCGTTAACTTATCTATGCCGATCGATCATTATAATATTAAGCTGATTTCACAGCGTATATTTCTCTTGCTCGGTTTTGACTTATCGTTTATTATCTGCCATAAAACCCTCTCCTTTAGAGGAAATCTCCATCGAAAGATATCCACTACTGGGGATAGGTTCGTCATAATGATCGGTCCACTGTGCTCATGTTTTTACAAACTATATTAATGACTTATTTATCGCCGCTGATGTGCAGAGGAGCTCATAGTCCGACACCAGCTGGTTACTGAAGGAGACAATAAACACTGTCCACCTTGAGACATACAAACTGAAGTTGCATTGTTAGAATTAGGTAAGCGCGATGTCCTCCCCATCTTTGATTATATTCTGCACAGAGCCTCACGATTTTAATAAACACGACGTCAATTTGTTCACGTTTATTTTTTATAGTATGTTTTATTTTTTACACTCGAAAGCTGTAATTATAATCAATTGATAAGAGCAGAGATCATGACACAATTACCGCTTTTTATATTTAAAAATCGGCATCGGTTCTAGTCGAACAATGGCTGACTGAAGAAACTATTTTACTTAAATGTGTCGCGGCATTAAGCGCGGACACTAAGGTTGTCGACCTTGCACACAGTGAAGGCGTTGAGTAAACTATTTCGTAGTGAAAATTCGTTAAAAAACTCTTACAGTAACCGACGTTGAGCAGTGTTCTTTAGGATACAGGTATACGAGCCGGGAAAATTTCAGTAGAAAAATCAACTCACTGTTTTTTGTTTAATGCTTTAGAGGTACGAAAGTCATGAAAATCTCTAAGTTTGGTTATTAATCAGGAAATATGAATATGAAACCGCAACTTCTTCGGTCTACCGCTGTCGACTCTTTGCTACGTACTCCTCTACCCTCGTCTATTCACAATGAGAGACCATGAGATCGCAATCGCATGCTAAAAACACCACAAAACACTTTGTGTTTCTGATATGCCACATGATTGTCAGGTAGGATTTTCATTTCTCTGAAGCTCATTCCAGTTTCAGTTTTTACTGGTGGTAGGACCCCTTGTAAGTCCGCACGGGTAGGTACCACCATCTTGCCTACTTCTGCCGTGAAATAGTAATGCGTTTCGGTTTGAAGGGTGGGGCAGCCGTTTATCTATACTAAGACCTTAGAACTTATATCTCAAGGTGGGTGGCGCATTTACGTTGTAGATGTCTATGGGCACCAGTAACCACTTAACAACCAGGTGGGCCGTAAGCTCGTACACTCATTTAGCAATAAATAAATAAAAACAAACATCCAATAAATAAAAACACAATTAAAACTTGTAATACTCTAAATCAGTGTATCAGTGTCAAAATTCAAAAGGTACCTGGCATCAGAACTGTGGCTCACGTCCTCAAACGGCTCGGAAGCATCTTGACCTGCTTTCTCCAGAAGTACCTCTTCACCGCCAGGGTGCTGAAAAATGATCTCTTATGTAAATCAAACTCTATATTAAATTGAAGTAATCTCTTTTGTACAACGAATCATCTCTTTTGTGCTTCTTTTTTATTGACACAGCAAGCGTAAAATATAATGCGCGTCATTGCAACTTGAAACGGCTTACTTGAGCTTTTTGCTATTCTACTTTTCGTTTAATCCATAATGGGTGACTCAATTTGGACGTGATTTTTTGTAATTTAAATGTATAATGTGGCGATCGTTGACAAAATACAAAACAACAACAATAATGCACATTCATCACATCGAAATGAAGTTGCCACACACACCGTTCATACTAACAACCTTGTTTTTTTACTGCGTAATGATTACACATTTCATAATCGGTTTACTTAGATAAATCAGAAGCAGTAGTCGCGAACCGCTAATTGCTTATTAATAAAGACTATTTAATTATCCGTAATCGTAACAACTAATTTATGTGTATTATTTATGATCGTAACTTCAATATATATATTTTGCCCTACTTAACCGTTGGTCGCCTAAAGGATTATTCCAACTATGCGCGGACGGACAGGTGAGCTCACGGGGCTCAACCTGAGAGGCCTCGCTAACACCTATCGAGTGTATTGAAATCGTTCTTGAAAACGTAAACACATGGTACTAAAACACCCAGAACCATATCTCGATAACAGTAAGCACTGCTTCAACGGTTCTTTGCGTAGTTTGTTTTATTATGATTACGGAGAAACATACAGCCTTATCTGTCCTCATGGATGGCAATACTGCCAGAAGCATAGCCATTCGAGCCTACACTGCGAACTGTTTTAAAATCTCGTCTGAAGAAGAACATGTCACAGCAATCATTAGACTGTGTGGAACACATGTTGCCTTCCTTTTACTTTTAATTTAAAACCTATTGACTTTGATTCCTTAGGTTAGCCATTCAAGCAACTTGGTACACGAGGAATGCAGATGAATGATGGAGAATGTAGGAATCTAAATTTCTAATCCATCCGCAAGTAAAGACAGCGTCAAAATAATACTTCATAACAGAAATAGAATTCTGTACATCCGTTTCTCAAGCTGTGGCTTTGTGTGTAACTGGATGGTCCAATCAAGAATTCAGATGTTCAACGAGCAGGTAAACAGAAGCGCATTAGCGCTTAAATGAACATCGCTTTCATTAATCATTGGAGTCGGTTAGGTATTTGACTTCAGCCTTCTTGAACTTCCTCGTGATCCATTCTTGGCAGTAATATTGCTACAGTACAATTTCGTCACCGAACCTCTGGTTCCTCCTCTTCTTAATGCAGGTGGCGGGGTAGGTGTGTGATTTGTCGGCACGAGTTGGTACTGCTTGTCCTGTTTATTTCTGCCATCCATTGTTTTCCATTCCAATCCATTATGAAATTCCTTCGGTCATTAGTCGGAGGGTGAGTCCCGTTGATTGTATATAGGTATATTATTCAATATAGGTCACAGCCATCGCTATGAAGCTATCGCATTCAAACACGAAGCGAAATGAAAAATTCCTCCGCGTCGGGCCGCCACCCTGCCGGATGAAATGAGATCATCTGTGTTATGTTGGAATTCCATTAATGCTTGAGTTAATGGCACTTGGAATAATCCCAGTTGAGAGAATATTGATGTGATAATCTATGAACGGTAAATTTAAATGAAGTTTTTTTATAAAATTTTCTACTTATTATCGAACGCATTTCACTATATTGCTTATATAATTCTAATAAATACAAATTTTATGTCGCGGGATTCCCATGAGAGAATAATGAACATGCCTACGCAAGGGAAAGCAATATTACAAGCTATATTTAGCCATTTCTTTGTAGAACCAGACGCTGATATCAATCGGTGCTAAATAGAGGCATATGAGATATACGACACATATAACTAATTCATTTTTTGATATCTTCAAAAAATACTTTAAAAGGCGCTCTTACACATTTTATAGTACTTATGGGTATTTATTTTAACCGTTTTGTGTAGACAAGTGCTAATTTAATCAAATAAACAGTTCGTCATACTGAGAGCTGTTGGTAAGATAGAGAAAGATAACAATTAAAACTATATTACGGTTTATCTCTTGTGCATTATTTTAGCTTTGTAATGCGAAAAAATTACAACAAATTTGGTGCATTATATAGATCTATGTCTATTGTTAATTTGGCCTGTTAGATAAAAAAAAACTTACGACTCGACGAACACGACTCATTGTAAGTTAAGCCGAATTTACATTACGAAATTAGTGGCGTGAAATTAATTTCGTGACATTAGTTTTACTAACAGTTTCACGTGTAATTTAATACTTTCGTAATGCATGCATTAATTTCATGCATGGAAATTAGTTTCGTGCCCCGCGCGATTTTTTGGTGAAATTAATGTCATGCAACTAATTTCATAGTGTAAACGCGACGTGAAACTAATGTCGCGAAAGGGCCTGCGCTGTGCGGACGTGTGTATTGTTAGTTCGGACGCGCTTCAAGCGTTGAAAATGGCAAACCAACGATGGAGTACAGAAAAAAATATAGATCTTATTAATGAATATCAATGACAAGGGTCCCGAAACACCTACAGTAAAAAATCAAAATTATCTTCACTCATTCGAAAATAGTTTTTATAACTCTCAGGATCTTCATCTGCTAATTCAGAGACTAATTTCATTGCACCTAAATGCCTTCTTGTTTGTCCATCCTTGAATCTACCAACTTTTTTTTCTTGATAGTCTTTTTTTAAGTTTATAGGTATATGAGCATTTCTTTAGCTACATTAAATATAGCAAATTACAGCTTTGATGTTGAAGGCGCCATGGCTACTGCGATACTGTGGATTTCGCGACACTAATTTTTTAACGAAATTACTTTCGCATATATCGAAACTACTTTCGTGAAACTGAGCTCAACATGCATGACACTAATTTCGTAATGTAAACTCGGCATTATAGTTAAAAATGTGTGCCAAAGCCGAACGTAATCATTGCGGGTCGAAGTTTACACATGAACCTTGACGTGACCTCGAAAACGCTTGTAGATGACAGATCTTCTGTTAGGTAGGTTATTACGACATACAATAAGCGTAATTTCATTACTACATTGCTGTTTCAGGTGCTTATTGTACGATCGTATGACGTATGATATGATAGTATCTACGTACTACATATTCATAACCATTGTTCTTCATTTTTTTAACTCATTTAATTACATATATGTAACATATACATATTATCACCACGAAACGTGATATAAATAAAAGCAGACATCTCATGAGAAATAGGGGGACGCCAAATGTAAAATTATACGACGGACTCGCCACAAACAATTCTTTTAATACGCTTTATATTAGCTTATCGTCCGGGCTGATGTCTGTTGTCGCCGTCTACGAGGCCTCGAACAACGGGACCTGTCCCTTTTGGGGCCTGCGCGTGGATCACGGGGGTTGTACCCAAATCTACGCCTGCCTGTAAGGTCTCACAGCAGTGATGCAGGTTCAGCTCTGATTGAGCATGTGCAAGAGGGGACTAACCGCGTGTTTGAGAAATACCCATCTGTGGAGGTGGTGGTCCTTGGAGACTTTAACGCTCACCACCAAGAGTGGTTGGGGTCCAGAACCACTGACCTCCCGGGTCGGACTGCCTACGATTTCGCCTTGGCCTACGGCTTCTCCCAGCTGGTGACACAGCCCACCCTTGTCCCAGATATCGAGGGGCACGAACCTTCTTTGTTGGACCTTCTGCTGACCACGGATCCGGCCGGATACAGTGTGGTGGTCGACGCTCCAGTTGGATCGTCTGATCACTGTCTTATCCGTGCTGTTGTACCGCTCTCTCGTCCTGGTCGTCGAACGACGACCGGGTATCGAAGAGTTTGGAAGTATATGTCAGCAGATTGGGATGGATTGCGTGAATTTTACGCATCCTACCCATAAGGGCGGTTCTGCTTTTCCTCTGCTGATCCTGACGTCTGTGCGGACCGTCTTAAAGACGTGGTGCTCCAGGGGATGGAATTGTTTATTCCCTCCTCTGAGGTGCCCGTTGGGGGTCGCAGTAGACCCTGGTATAACAATGCCAGCAGGGATGCTGCACACCCCAAGCGGTCCGCATACGTGGCATGGGATAATGCCAGGAGACGTCAGGATCCTAACATCTCAGAGGAAAGGCGGAAATATAATGCCGCATCCAGGTCCTACAAGGTTATTGCCAAGGCGAAGTCGGAGCACGTTGCTAGAGTTGGCGAGCGACTAAATAGCTATCGCTCTAGGAGCCGTGCTTTTTGGTCGCTCGCCAAAGCTGCAGAAGGAAACTTTTGCAGGTCTAGTCTCCCACCACTGCGCAAGTCCGATGATAGTTTGGCCCATAGTGCGAAAGAGAAGGCTGACCTTCTGGTCAAACTCTTCGCCTTGAACTCGACCGTGGACGACGGGGGTGCCACACCACCGAACATTCCCCGGTGTGATAGCTCCCTGCCTGAGATCTGCTTTACACAGTGTGCAGTCAGGCGGGAGCTCCAACTCCTGGACGTCCATAAATCGAGTGGGCCAGACGGCGTCTCCTTCGGGCGGCGTGCTTGCTCGCCGGGGCGCCACCATGGGACCTGGAGGCGTAGGCGCTCGCTGCCGATTACAGGTGGTGTAGCGATCTCCACTCTAGGAGGGAAGGACGCCTTGGCGAAGGAGTAGTTCGAGCGCGGAGGCTCCAATCTCGGCGGTCCGTGCTGGAGGCGTGGTCCCGCCCCTTGGCGGACCTGTCGGCCGGCCTCCGTACCGTCGAGGCAGTCCGCCCGGTTCTCGCGGACTGGGTTGGCCGCGACCGCGGATGCCTCACCTTCCGGCTGACGCAGATGTTGACCGGCCATGGGTGTTTTGGCCGGTACCTTTTCAAGATAGCCGGAAGGGAACCGACGGCACAGTGCCACCACTGCGCGGACCGCGACAAGGAAGACACAGCGGAACATACATTGGCGCGTTGCTCTGGATTCGACGAGCAACGCGCCGCCCTCGTCGCGGTCATAGAAGAGGACCTCTCGCTGCCGCGCGTCGTGGCTATGATGCTCGGCAGCGACGCGTCCTGGAAGGCGATGCTCGACTTCTGTGAGTACACCATCAGGGAATATTGTTATTGTATACCTCATAAAAAAGCCATGTATATTATTAGACTAGTGTTAAGAATTCTTGTACGTGTTTGTATTTTAAGAGGCTTGAATAAATATTATTATTATTATTATTATCTCGCAGAAGGAGGCGGCGGAGCGAGAGAGGGAGAGCTCTTCCCTTTCCGCACCGATCCGTCTCCCTGCAGTGGTTCTGAAAACGTGCGCCTCTGAGCTGACGCCTGCGCTAACGCGTTTGTATCGCCCCTCTTATTGCACTAACAGGGTTCCGTCTTCATGGAAGACCGCCCACTTCCACCCTATCCCCAAGAAGGGTGACCGGTCGGACCCATCGAGGTATAGGCCTATCGCGATAACTTCCTTGCTTTCCAAGGTGATGGAGCGAATAATAAATATACAACTCCTGAAGTATCTGGAGGATCGCCAGCTGATCAGTGACCGACAGTACGGTTTCCGTCACGGTCTCTCAGCTGGCGATCTTTTTGTATACCTTACTCACAGGTGGGCTGAAGCCTTGGAGAGCAAAGGCGAGGCTCTTGCTGTGAGCCTTGATATCGCGAAGGCCTTCGACAGGGTCTGGCATAGGGCACTTCTATCGAAGCTACCATCTTACGGAATCCCCGAGGGTCTCTGCAAGTGGATCGCTAGTTTTTTGGATGGGCGGAGCGTCACGGTCGTTGTAGACGGTGACTGCTCTGATACCATGACCATTAACGCTGGCGTTCCACAAGGTTTGGTGCTCTCCCCCACGCTTGTCATCCTGTATATCAATGACATGCTGTCTATTGATGGCATGCATTGCTATGCAGATGGCAGCACGGGGGATGCGCGATATATCGGCCATCAGAGTCTCTTTCGGAGCGTGGTGCAAGAGAGACGATCAAAACTTGTGTCTGAAGTGGAGAACTCTCTGGGGCGAGTCTCCGAATGGGGTGAATTGAACTTGGTTCAATTTAACCCGATAAAGACACAAGTTTGCGCGTTCACTGCGAAGAAGAACCCCTTTGTCATGGCGCCGCAATTCCAAGGAGTGTCCCTGCAAACTTACGGGAGTATCGGGATACTTGGGGTCGTCATTTCGAGCGATATCCAATTTCGGAGTCATTTGGAAGGCAAAGCCAAGTTGGCGTCCAAAATGCTGGGAGTCCTCAACAGAGCGAAGCGGTACCTCACGCCTGGACAAAGACTTTTGCTCTATAAAGCACAAGTCCGGCCTCGTGTGGAGTACTGCTCCCATCTCTGGGCCAGGGCTCCCAAATACCAGCTTCTTCCATTCGACTCCATACAGAAGAGAGCCGTTCGGATTGTCGATAATCCCATTCTCACGGATCGCTTGGAGTCTATGGGTGTGCGGAGGGACTTCGGTTCCCTCTGTATTTTGTACCGCATGTTCCATGGGGAGTGCTCTGAGGAATTGTTCGAGATGATACCAACGTCTCGTTTTTACCATCTCACCGCCCGTCACCGGAGTAGAGTTCATCCATACTACTTGGAGCCACTGCGGTCATCCACAGTGCGTTTCCAGAGGTCTTTTTTGCCACGTACCATCTGGCTATGGAATGAGCTCCCCTCCACAGTATTTCCCGAGGGCTATGACATGTCCTTCTTCAAACGAGGCTTGTGGAGAGTATTAAGTGGTAGGCAGCAGCTTGGCTCTGCCCCTCGCATTGCTGGAGTCCATGGGCGACGGTAACCACTCACCATCAGGTGGGCCGTGCGCTCGTCTGCATAGAAGGGCAATAAAAAAAATTAAAAAAAAATTCAATATTTACTTCATTTTGCAACAACTAGTTTAGCTTCTTGCAAGACCAAAACAGTATTCAAACTTATAGAAAAAATCAATATTCTAGTCACAGTGACAAAAGGTTCGGCTCAGACTAATTAATTTTTACCACTTTCTATAAAGTGGTTAGTACTACTCTATTTAGAATGATAATTTTTTCCCACTGGCTGGTCACAAAACTCTTTCCCCTCATGTCAAGATATTTTACCTTTTGGGATACCCTGTATATACACAGATATTTAATATTCACATGAAAGGAAGCAACCTATTTGTCACATTAATGTTTGCCTGATGTGGGAATTGAACCCACAAATCATGACCCAGAAGCTAAGAGGCTCTAGTTACTGTGTCACTAACTAACTATTCTAGCCTTTAAGGGGCTCTAACTACTCTAGCCAGTTGATATCATACTATACTTTTACTTTACTAGTATTACAAATTATTAAATACAATTATTATAAAACTATTCAATTACATTCCTAAAGATAAGATAAATATTGAGTCGCTGATATTCTGCAATTGCAACATTCATAAGGAAAAAGTTGTAGAATTTAAGTATGTTATTTTTTTTCTTGCTAGGTGGGTGGACCAGCTCACGGCCTATCTAGTATTAATATGGTGTTTTTGAGTCAAGCAAAGATTTAAGTGCATTCTGAAATACTTTACACGATCAGACTGCAAAGAGCATTACTTGTGGACAGTTTCCTCATCTTATAATGAATTTTATATACATTTATACATATTATTACATAGATTCGGAAGCACTAGCCTGCATTCCCTAATTTACTGTACGAGAAAATATACTTCGACCATTATACTATTTCAAATTTGGAACTATATTTAATAAATAGACCAGAATAACTTGGTGCAAGGTAGTAATCAAATTTACCTCGAGGAGGAATTTTGTGACGTCGTAGACTTCGTTGTGGATAATTAGTACGGCGTCAGCACGCGTAGACCGGGACTTCAGTTCTTCGCGCGTGAACAATTTCATTTCACCTTCCATTATTATGTTTATTAATTTAAATTAAATCACTACGCTACCACCAATTTGTTTATAGCTTCAGATATATTTCTGAATAGTCAAATATGTAAAAAAGCGATCAAATTGGAAATGAGATTTTTCTAAAGAGTCGCACGTCGGCACTTTATGTACAAAACTTCTACTCTACCGAGTCCGACCAATGAAGTACGACGGGCAATTTACATATGACAAGAGTGACAACGTGACATGAATTGACAATAGTTCTATTTTCCAACTGGAAAGCCAGAGGTATCATATCATACAGCCTAACCTTTTGTATTATTTTTTATGAAAATAATATGGAGTGAAATTAAGTTGATTAGTTATATTTGAAACATTAATCAATTGGCATGAAATTAAATGAAATGAGATGAGATGACACGACCTTACAGATACATCAGATCCAATAACAGTTGCATTAGACGCCTTAAACTCTAACACTATAGTCGGATTTTTTATTAGATGAAGTCAACTGACGTTTACTGTGTTGTCAGTTTTTTATGAAATAAAAATAGTGTTGTGACAAAGTGAACGATTGAAAAAACTCCTCATTAATGAAATTGCCTCGATTGTCTAGTGAATAGTTGGTGTGCCGAATTGCCGATATCGGGTACGGGGTTAGAATTTTAGGCGTGCTTTGTACATACCAACGAGTTTTCGACGAAATATTATGTTCCTATAGTATCTACCTGTACTGAATATCGAGTGTTTTAAACATTAAGAAAAACATTGCGATGAAGCTTGTAAGACTGTCCTATTTCTAATACATCATATAGTTGAAATTGTAGACGTATAAAATATAACAATTATAGGTAGGTAATGAAAATAAAAAAACTGATTGTAGTTACGTACTACTAGTAACATATATTGGAGCACTTTAATACAATTTTATTGTAAAATATAAATAATATTCTTTTATAGTTTGAAATTAATGATTAACTCTTCACACTCATTGTTCATTCATGTGATTGAACGAGAACTGAACGCATCACTATTACTTTAAATATAGCAACATTATTTCACAAAGTGACATAAGCTACTGTCAGCTGGCTTCGTCTAATTAAAAATCCGACTATAGGCATAGGGACTGCTAACCGTACTCTTCAAGCTCGGCAAAGAGTTCGATGTGCAACTTAACCCATGCATCAGCCCACTGTGTTTCTCGACGGATTTTCTCAGCAATTCGCTATTCTGATCCGGTAGTAGATTCATTTGCGAAGCAGCTGCTCTTGAGTTGTTAGGTCTCTTTTGGAGGAGCTCGGGCAGCTGTTATGAAATCCATTATCTCTACTATTTTTCCCGGTCCTTAAATACATACTTAAACATCATACTGTGGAAGAGTAGCCCGGTCGGCGGCATATCGCGTTCCGACCCGGCAGGCGGGTTCTGAACCCGGACTTAAATCGGATGTCGGGGGAAAGAGTGTCGAGTCGAGGAGAGTCGTTTAGCGGGTAGGGTCCTAAATTCCCGCGGTCCGCTTCTAACATCTGCAGACTGGTCCCACATACGCGCGCCCAGACGCGAAGATTTCGTAAGAGGTTCGGCTCTCGAGACGAAAAAAATACGAATATGTTAATCGGTGTTGTTGACAACATCATCAACAAATTCATGTTGTGAATTTAGTAGCCTAATCCTATTGAAAGAAATAGATCTAATTTTGAACCTTGATAATGCTACGAAGGTCTTCGATAGGATTCGGCGTAGAACACTTTGTCTCAGATACTCCTGGAAATTCCAACGGACTTTGGTTCGCTTGTTTTTTATTTAAAATGTAAGGACTCAGTCGTCAATGACGGATGCTGCTTCGATACCATGATCATTAGTGCTGGTTTTTCATAAAGTGCACTCCTCACATTTTTTATCCATATTTTCGGGTCATCTGTTGAGGACACGCTTTGCCCTGTTGACAATGGTATGGGAGATGTGAAATATGCTCACCAGAATGTCTCGTAGTATGGTTCAGGTGAAATGATTAAAAATTTAGTTTGTTGTGAATGACTGCAGAGCAAGTTTCTGTATGAAATAATAATAATATTTGTTTTTTATATGGATGGTTGGACGAGCTCACGGTCCACCTGGTGTTAAGTGGTTACTGGAGCCCATAGACATCTACAACGTAAATGCGCCACGCACCTTGAAATATAAGTTCTAAGGTCTCAGTATAGTTACGAGAGCTGCCCCACCCTTTAACCCGAAACGCATTACTGTTTTGCGGCAGAAGTATCTAGGGTAGTGGTAGCTACCCGTGCGGACTCACAAGAGGTCCTACCACTAGTAAGTACGTAAATCATATTTTTTGCGGGTTTGATGTTTATTACATGATGTTATTCCTTCACAGTGGAAGTCAATCGTGAACAGTTGTTAAATACGTATTTGATTAGAAAAATTGGTACCCGCCTGCGGGATTCGAATACCGTTGCATCGCTAGATTCGAATGCCCCGGACGTTTTATGCTTTAGGCCACGACGACCTTAAAATATGTTCTAAGCAAAAAGTACAAAAATGTAAAACAGCACAAAAGAAAGGATTAGAAAAGTTAACTGGTTCGGCAATGCCTAACAGTAACAAATCCATTACAATTAATTATGGTTTGCAAGTATTCACTGTGTAGAAATAAACATTTGTTGAGACTACAATCTTAAGAATTATCCTGCAACTGAATGTGTGGCGAATTTTGAACTGGTATATACTTTTGTTTTTTTTTCCGGGCCGGGGCCGAACCACCTACGAGGTTACCGCGCATAAGGGGCGCGCGGGGTATGTGAGACTCAACGATCTGCAGGTGTTGAGAGCAGATCGCGGGCCCAAGGATTTTAGGGCCCACCCACTAAACGACTCCCCTGCACTCTTACACCCGACGTCTGATCTCCGTCCGGGGTCAGAACCCGGTCAGAGTAGGGGGGTTCCCGCGGTCAGCACTACAACCAGACACGCGGCGCCACCCTGAGGACGCCCGACCGACGGGTCGTCGAGGCGATAGTCGACGACCAACGACGTCGGTCTTCGCGGTACGGCGGCCCTACCAGGCCGCCTGGGCGATGCCACTGGTGTTCCGGGATACCCCGCTGGGCCAGAATCAGCCTGCCGGGTCGGAACGCGATACACCGCCGACCGGACGACGAAAATGCGAACCGCATCGCAGTCCGCAGTCGCCGACGGGCCGCTCCGTCCTCCTGGTGCCAGCGCGCTAGAGTGACGATAGCGTGCGGCGCAGCCTCAACCCCCTTAGCTCGCCCCTTGACCATCACCGGGAGAAGACTGCCTCCTCGAACTGGTATATCCTGGCATAAGTTGGGGACCGTAATATAGTATATACATACATACATGTATGCATTAATAAAGTATTTATGTAGTACCTATCAATAATTAGTCTGACTTTATGCTTTTTTTAGATCTTATAACACATTTCACCTGGCTCAATTCATTTGTTTCTCATTGGTACTGACTCTCAATGTGCTGTAATGTTACCAATTGACATGTAGTAATATAAACAATATAACTTGAATGTTATATTCTTAGATCTCATATAATATGATTATATAATATATATTCTATTTATTGCAAAGAACTTTGTTTTAAAATGAGAAATAGACAAGTTTTTGGGCTTAATTAATAAAAGGTATTGTATGTATCTTTTTAGTATTTTTATGTTCCCCATCTTATAATTACATAATAGTGGTCATACCATAAAATTCCTTTTAAAATCCAACTCAAATCCTATTACTTCAAACAAGAGTATCACCTGTACGTGGGTGACTGGGCTCCATGAAGCATACTTGTCACCCAGATATGGGTGATGTGGCAATAAACATGTTAACTAAAAACATGTTTTATTTTCAGGGTAAAATCTACAGAAACAAATTTTTATCTTTGTACAATTTTAATCACATAGTGGGTCCTATAAACTATCTAAGGGAGTATAATCGATATTTTGTTTCTGCTTAAAATTAAATTTTAACATTAGCTTCTTGTATATCTTTGTTTTTGTGTGTGCCATCACAGAAAGGTCTAAGCTTGGTCTGTTTACAATTACACAGCCAATAATCCTTTGTTTTTTCTACTGTGAATCTAATGGGCCTGAAAAAAAGAAAGTTTCCAAGATTAAGTAACACTACATTTGATTTTCAACTTTATCCTATTTAATGCTATACTGTCTGAGCTACGAATATTTCAATCAAATTTCAATTTTTAAACCTAATATTAATAAGGAAGAATCAAATATGCATAGGGAGTAAATGAATTCTTGTTTGTGATTATGAAGAGAACATTTTGAACTGAAATGCAAAAACCTATCTATGAATTATTGTTTTTTTCATTTTCAATTATTAAGCGATGAAGTATTATTTTTAATCATACCTTATAAGATAAGATACTACTATCTAGTTTTTTTTTATAAAAACAAATTGGTGAAGTATTATTTTTAATGATACCTTATAATATGAGATACTACCTAGTTTTTTTTATAAAAACTAATTGACTCCAACTCCTAAGGCATTCATTTTGCCAACATCACAGTATAGACAAAAATGACAGATTCTTAGAGAAAAAAAAATTAAATACAAATAAATATGATCACTTTTTTCATATGCGAATCTGTGATTTTAAGAACAGCTCAAACAAATATATTAGACTAACTACTTTATAGATAAATATTATTAGTAGATAAAAAATTTTATTGAATATTTACATTTTTAGAATATACTAAAGTTAATACCGAATTAATATTAATAGGCCGAGGGATGTCTTTTCGAAGGATATCATAAAGAGGGGAAACAATACTATCTTGTTTCATGTAATTAGTTTAAATCTGGTGCTGGCTTATGCTTTTATTACAATTATCTCATAAACATAGTAGTCTTTTAAATACAGTTGATCTAAACAAAACAAGGAAGTTAGAAGTGTTTGTTTACACTTAATATGAGATGCATTAAAGTGTTAAGATTTCAGATGCTGTTATCTTTTTTTGTGAGTATTTAGCTAAAAAAGTCAGGCTTTCAACCAAAATTTAAGTCATTGGACAAGTGCTTTTACTATTAGTATTTATTATGTTAGCCCTTTGACTGCCAAGTAGGTCAACGGTGTGTATGTGGCGTACAGATGTAATTATGTCGATTCCTGATACGAAGCATTGCTTAACTTTGAATTATTTTGTTTTTAAGGTATATTTTGTCTCTTGGGTCTCTTAGAAATAGGTTCATTCTCAGTGTCTTTGGATTCATCTGCCTCAGACTTTATTAGATATTTCAGCGCCTTAGTAACAGAAGTCAACATAATTACTACAGTGCACTATGTAGGGCACCAATTATCTACATACAGACCAAGGGATAAGCAATTTTGTAACCACTCAAAGTGTGGTAAATAAAGTCCAATATATATTATTGTTGTAACATACCTCTGCGTGACCTTAAGGAATATGTCTTTGTGTGTTCCGTCGCATAAGGGCTGTCTCTTGGAACGTCCGCAAAGACACCAGTGATATGTTTTGCCAGCTTCCAAAGTTATTTTAAATGGTTTTTTGTCATAAATGATACCATTATCTTTCTGTTGAGATGCCGAATAGACTTTCTCTAAAGGATTCTTTGGAACCTCCGGTTTTGGTACTTTTGTTACATAGGATGCCTGAAAATACGAGTAAAATATATTGCACATTAAAAACAAGTAATATAATAACAGTATAGCCACTAGTGGACTGGCGAAAACCTTTTTACTATTTTCCAGCAGAAATGAAAGGCTTCAAAACATTTTGATATTCAATAATAATCGCCCTGTTATTAAGAATGCTTGGTATCGCACGTACATGTTGCATGTTTATATTAGAAACGCACATACCCTTCCACTACAATTGTATATAGCACGTGAAATATTTCGCAGAAACATCTTTAGACTCTATAAAAGTTTATTTGGTGAAAATTTCTGAGTTCTGAGAATAGATTAAACACTTAATATATTTGAGAGTTCTGAGGCCTAAGATAATCTATAATTAAGATTTTATGAACTGGTAACAAGACCTTTAAGCCGATGTTTTTTTTTCCTCTGACTAGTATTTCACCTTCTCGCGGACGGATCGTTGAGTTCACAGGCTTAACCTGAAAAAAATTGCTAGCCCTAGGAAGAGCAGTGCATCGCAGAATCACCACTGGATCGGATTAGCGACCCACTGAGAATCCGTCGAGAAACTCAGTGGGCTATGTCTATGGATTAGTTCTCTCGTCTAACTCTTCGTCAATGTCGTAATCGACGAGTTCGACAAAGACGGTGACCGGTGCTTGAAGAGGTTGAAAGCACTAAAAGTGAATCTCGGGAAATCAGATAAGTAATCACTATGGGAGGGTTATCGAGTCGCGCTTCTTTGTCGAAGTAGCGAGAACGCTACTTACTTAATTTTAACTTTACAACATAGAATTTAATTTTGATATTCAATTTTACTTAATTTTACAACATAGAAATGTTGCCTCTAGATAGATACATATATCGGTTCTGAATTTAAATTGTCGTGAAGATCGATATTCCCCACGTACCAGAGTGCTACGGCGCGGCGGCGGTTATTCTGCAGAAACAGGATTGGATGACCTAAGTTTTCTAGTGTGACCTTGTTACTAAGGGACAATTTACTTCACTTGCTATCATGGCATAGAGTCGATCGAGTAGGAACGCGGATCGTTCGCTTACTGACTTAATGTTGGGACCGAATTTCATCCTTCTGTTCTCCTTTCTGCACTTGGTCTACGTTGCCCAGGGCTTACCCTCAAACGGCCATCAAAATTTTGACGGCGGGCATGGCGTTACCGCACTTAATTCTGGGCGAAATGCTAGCTGTGGTATCGTGAGGGCGACCTCTTTTGAAGAGTACTGTTACATATGTTCCTCAATAATAACGCAATATAAATAATAATGCAGACTAAGGTGCATCGTTTCTATATAAAGACGATTTGTGGATAAAGCGCGGCAGAACTGATTTGGCATGAGTAGCGGAAACACACATCGTTTGTACTATTTACTATTTCTTTTAGAAAATAAACTCAGTGTCAGCCACAGTTTCCTTTTTTTTAAAAGGATGCACACAGTAACAGTACGGCTGTGATTTTCGTGGGGTTGATGTCGACGCGCATGCCACTTCCGGAACCACTGTCCTAAATTGGTGGCCGCGATCTTTAGTTTATAATGCATGAACGACATTTTCCTGCTCGAGTATGTAGCATGTTAAAAATTATTTGTAACATTATATTGTTATTATTACATACATTGTAAGATGTAAAACTAGATTAAAATTTTAATAATTAATTGTGTGTTGAATGGACAAACGATCGGAATTTTTATATAGTGACTGCGAGTGAGCAAAGTTGTTTTCAATGTAGAAATATAAAATAAATGCATATGTACATCTAGACACACTTTGTATCGGCCCTCGCCAAGTCAGTCAGCTGGTCGATTTAATGCAAGACGCTTGCGCTTTCTTACTAACTTTGGCTTACGATAGTAATTATAAAATAGTTTGTAATAGTGTACTGTCGCTTCATGGTATTGTTTCTCATATCTTCACTCTCTTCTCCTTCTTTGTGTGTGTGCTTTTCGTGTGCCTAGTGAGAGTTTTTTAACATTCTCGATAGCGTAAAAGTTAGCTCATATTTGTATGGAATGGGATCGTTTGCGTACGTTTGCCGCTAGGGGCACTGTTCCAACTACATACAAAATTTGGTTAACTTTTACGCTATCGAAAACGTTAAAAAACTCGCACTAAGCACACTGTTCTTTGACAATAAACTAATAGTGTTTTAAACTGTGCGGGTGGTTTAATTTTACACTTCAAGTACTAGATAGGCTATCATTAGCGAAAAGAGCCAACTGGGTCGCCGGCGACCGGGGTATTCATTATTAAACAGGCTAAAAAGTAGTAGTGAGAGAACGGAGCCTTGTAGGACTCCGGCTGGCATTTGTCGCTTCCTGTCGACCAACTCAGTGTGTTCGGGGTTAGCAGTTTGAGCACTGGTGGAGCATTGCTCTTGCAGTATATTGGCTAGTTGGCCTGAGGCCCATACGAAAAGAGGCGTAGTGGCGATAGTTTCCAATTTGAGGGTCCTAGCTAGTCGCCAATATGCTTGATGAAAAGGTGCGAGTCCTTCTAAATAACTTTCCCACTTTGTATTTCGGGTTTCATCTAGGCGTAGCGGCGTAGACAACGCATCCGAATCTGGTTTATTCGCAACATCGTGAAAGTTATTCATGAATATGTTTTAAGTAGGTACGTATTTCACTAGAAAAAATAAATGCTGTCTGCTGGACTCGAATATTGGTATTATCGTATCGTTCGACATAAATGCATTGGGCATCCTTTAGACCACAACGATTCCGTCATCATATTCCATAATCCATAATCCATAATCAATTTTAGGAAATTCGTTCTTTTCGTTCACTTGTGTTTTAATATTCGTGTAACAGGTAAGGCCTTTTTTATATTCGATAATTTATGTCATGAAAATAAAATTAAAAGTCACGGCTGTACAGTGTGATTTCTTCGCTTTCTTGTATTCGAAAACTAAGAAACTTCAATTGTTTTGTGTTTCTTGATTCTCCGTTCCCGTGTTAATTTACATTTTACAATATTCAGCAAAACAACCCATAAGAGGAAATATAACTACTCATTAATAAATTAAACTAATATGTCCAGATCTAGGGGATTTGAAATAAGAGAAGGGTTACGTTCTCATAAAAAGCATAAAGAAAATAAAAATGAAAGTGAGACTTCTGATTCTTCTGAACGTAAGTTTAGATAAAAAATAATAAGAATAATTATTTAAAAAAAAGTAAATTAAAAGTAAATACTCTTCGTATTAACGTACTTTGACTGACCTGGTGGTGCAGTAGTTAGCGCCCTAGACTATTGTACCAGGGCTCGTGGGTTTGACTCCCGGGCAAACGTGTACCCATATCACGGAATCCTGATTTGGGGCCGGATGATCGTGCGTGACTTGTTTACTGTTATTTATTATTAATTATATATTTACAAAACAATTCAATTAGTTGAAGTCAATTAAATTTGCATCACTTATGGATATATAGTTCAAAAACTACTGGTCAGATCTCAATAAACTTTAAATAGGAGCACATGAGAACCATCGCTCTTCAAATAAAAAAGAATCATTAAAATATCCTAAAAAAAGTTCTAAGGAAAAGTAAAAAAAATGTATATCTCCTCCCCTTTTGAAGTCGTTTTTAAAAAGACAGTAATATAAAGATTTGTAAATAGAAGATAGATAATATTACTTTCATAAACTTGTTAAAATTTTATTTTCTATGACCCTTTTATCTGAAGGTAATTAAATAACTTTCTTGGCAAGTGGAGGAAGCATTTTACATGAAATCCAATTTTCTTCTGTCTTTGCTTCTGTCCTTGTACTCCTACCTCTGCTAAACTTCTCTGCATCGTGAATGTCAATCAAAGTATTATCTTATGTATTAGGCTTTAATATTACACTTATTATGAGAAGAACCATCTCTCAATAGATTGAACTTAATTATTTTATTATATCTGTTATATAACCACCATGTGGTAAAATGAAGTAGACAGGTATAATTTTTTCTTATAAAATACACACAACTTAATACTTAATAAATTATAATGTTCATGAATGACTTGCACCATAACTTAGTGAATAAGAATCAAACACACAAAAATGTACCTTATACAATAGTTAGTACAACTGAGACAGTTGTCTTCAAGTCTTATGGTGATTGGCAGCATTCACATTGTGATTTTTATATGCTCTGGTAACCACTTAACATCAGATACTACATGAGATTGTTCACCCGATTACACAGTGAAGACAAAACTGTGTCATCAAACACATAGTCATCCAATAAATAAGTACATTAATAATTTAAAATAATTATTGTATTTATCTCTAGGTGAACAAATATGTGAACTTTTATATAAGCTACCAAAACTGGACAAGATTTTTGAAGTGCACCGAAAGATAGGAGAAGGAACATTTAGTTCAGTGTATTTAGGCTCACTGAGACAGCATTCATCTTTGCTAGACAAAGACAAGCGTTGGTTTGCNCATCCAATAAATAAGTACATTAATAATTTAAAATAATTATTGTATTTATCTCTAGGTGAACAAATATGTGAACTTTTATATAAGCTACCAAAACTGGACAAGATTTTTGAAGTGCACCGAAAGATAGGAGAAGGAACATTTAGTTCAGTGTATTTAGGCTCACTGAGACAGCATTCATCTTTGCTAGACAAAGACAAGCGTTGGTTTGCCATAAAACACTTGGTACCTACTGCACATCCAGCTCGGATTGAACACGAGTTAAGGTGTCTACAGGACATAGGGTATGTTTTAAAAATGAATCTGCATCATTACTAATATACACAGGCATTATGTCCCATATATTTATTTGACTAGAATTTATTTTAAAGTACAATCTACGTAATTACTTATCACCCCATGGGATGTTGTTGCCATCTGCTCATCTAAAAATGACACAGGAATCTGCCATTCATGGATCAAGGTCAAATCTACACAAGGGCACGTCATTATGTGTGAACATCATCATTTGTTGTTACAGATGAGGTTATTAAGTCGTAATCCTAAATCTTGTTGAATTTATATCTATATGCTATGAGTAACAAGACCATCATTAACTGAATAGTACCACATTGGCACATGAGTTAATGTGTGTTTGAATGTCTAGCTTGTGTAGAGGTATTTATCCATTAATTTAATTGAACATTTTACGTGTGTTATATTACAGAGGCAAACATCATGTGATTGGAGTGGAGCTCTGTCTTCGTAATCTCGACACTATTGTATTTGTAATGCCCTATCTACCTCATAAAAAGTTTTCTGTGAGTATGTCAGTCAATCTATATAAACAATATTTCAAACATTAATAGCATCATGGAACATTTACTTATCTGTTGGAAAAATAATACTCAAAGTTTCAGTTGAATCTAAATTAGTCTTATGGAAAGATAATATGTGTTAATGAACATTCAGTTTCATAAAGTATTAGACAGAAAATCATTAATTGTGTCAAAACTGCCATGACAATAGTTAGTTTTTTAATGAAATTATTTTCATTTCAGAAAATATCATATAAAGTTAATATTTTACACAATGCAAAGTACTAAAAGCAAACAAGCTTAAGAGTAGAATATTTTTTTTTGATAATTGATTAATGATGATGTTGGTGATTTGATTTTTAATGACCAGGATAATGGCAGATCAATATACAATACAATAAATTAAATAAATTCATTAACTTTGATTTTGTGTTGAAAACAGTTTTACAAAACATTAAAACTCTTTCACACCTTACAGTCCAAAACTGTTGTGCGACCATGTACTGAAAATCTATACTAATATTATAAAGAGGAAAGATTTGTTTGTTTGTTTGTTTCGAATAGGCTCCGAAACTACTGGACCGATTTGAAAAATTCTTTTTCCATTAGAAGCCGACATTGTCCCTGATGAACATAGGCTACTTTTTTTAATTTTTTTTTTTTTTTTAGTTTCATGTGTGTTTTAATGTTTCCGTAGCGAAGCGAGGGCGGGTCGCTAGTATCTAATATAACACAACACATTCGACACAAGCGACACATTCTCGATCCTGCGGACCGAATGGTAAACAGTCGTCGTCACCCAAAACACGTCATTTAGGATCCTCCCGATCCACTAACGGTGCTTTTAGGTACCTCAAGCACCGGTCACCGTTCTCGTCGAACCCGTCGCTTGCGACGAAGGGCTCGGTGAGTAAATTAACCCACAGACTCAGCCCACTGAGTTTCTCGCCGGATCTTCTCAGTGGGTCCTGATTCTGCGAAGCACTACTCGTGCTATGGTCTCTCAAGACCATCAGTTTATGAAGGAAAAAAAACTAAGCGACGTAACTGACCAGGCTGGTAGATCTAGATCTAGTGTTAGCGATCTACCTTCTCTGGGTACAGTAGGACTAAATAAAATATTATATGGAAGAGCTGGGATCCGTTCCCAGGAGTACGTGGGCGACATGGACGCGGCCGAGCTGCGCGAGTACATGCGCGCGCTGCTCGAGGCGCTCCGGCACGTGCACTCGTTCGGTGTCATACATCGAGACGTCAAACCCAGTAACTTTTTGTACGATCGAGAAAATAGGAGGTGAGCATACCGGGCTATACTGTACACAAACAAATAAAATTAAAATACTTGAATTTCTAGAAAAGTTTTGTGTGAAAAAATGTACTTAAAGTATTTCTGGAATCGTAGCCTTGCCTGGAGATAGAGTCCATATATTTAAATCAAAATTATTTACCTAACTACCTGTAAAGATAATTTATTGAATAACTGTTTGTGTTCTACTAAGTTTATTACCTTTTTAACTAGATATCAATTAGTAGACTTCGGCCTGGCTCAGCGACTGGTCCCCGGCACCGACGAGGAGCCCCCGGCGCCCCCCCGGTCCTCGGCCCCCCGCAAGCGTCCCCGGGAGGCCGAGGGCGCCACACCGGAAGCGAAGCGACTCGCACTTGACCTCTCACTGAAGACTAACGCTAGCAAAATATCTATTGTTGAAACTAATCCCATGCCGCTGTCTCCTAGAAGCAATGTCAAGGTATGTCGGGTTTTCCTTTCTCATCTATTTAATGTTTAACTAACTACATTTGAATAACTAGCAGCTTGTCTTCACTACGGGGACTATAATTTATTAATGATTTGATTGAATTAAGGTTGTGGTTGGGTTTACTAGAAGAGGGGACCGGGTCACTGCGAGAACGCGTTTGAATTTTATTCTCGCGCCCGTAATCGTGCCATTAAATTATATAATCGAAAAGATGTTGTTAATAATGTGCACGAAATGCTTAAGGCCTCTAACGTATTAAAAAGGTAAGGATTAATACTGTATCTGTCTAATTATCTTTAAAATTGTCGCAATATACGTGACCACTTTTTTAAAAGCTATCACGGGTACAGTAAGTTATCCTTCAAAAGTAGACATATGCCACCGCTGACCTATTTGTAGATCTATACAAGAAGAATATACCACCAATACATTGTTTTGTTATATCTTATAAGCTTTAGGCAACTTTTCATTGAAAGCTTCCAGGCGGCTTAATATTTTAGTCAATATACTTAGTCTGGCCATAAATACTGTTACAATTAAAAATAAACAAAATATTACATTTGAATTTGGAATCTGTCAATTTTATAATATGATTGCTCATTGAGTTTTCTCATTTTGGCGCCAATACATTGTACAATATTTTGCGATATTAAAATGGAGTGGGGTGATAAAGAGAACCGAATCGCTGTGATTGCATTACACAAAGTAGATATGGAGCCAAATGCAATTTTTAAAACTCCATACGCTTGGTATTAGTAAAATGTTTGTGTACCGGGCTATTAATAGGTGCAGTGAGACCTCCTCTGTTTGTGACAGAAAAAGATCTGGCCGTCCACGTAGTATTCGTACGAAAAAGGTGGTCAAAGCAGTAAGGGAAAGAATTCGAAGAAATCCTGTCCGAAAGCAAAAGATTTTATCTCGGGAGATGAAGATAGCACCTAGAACCATGTCGCGTATTTCAAAAGATGACTTAGGCCTTGCAGCCTATAAGAGACGTACTGGTCATTTCTTAACTGATAATTTAAAAGAGAATAGGGTGGTAAAATCGAAACAAGTACTGAAGCGGTACGCAAAGGGAGGTCATAGAAAAATTTTGCTTACGGATGAGAATTTTTTTACAATTGAGCAACATTTTAACAAACAAAATTTTCCCATGGAAAGAGTGCGTGCTTCTATTGATAACTGGCCTCAACGTTTAAAGGACTGTATTGCAGCCAATGGAGACCACTTCGAATAAACTTTTTATATTTTAAATTGTTTTATATTTATGTGTTAAACTAACACACTGTAAAAGTAATAAATGTTATTTGCCATATATTTTTTTTTGTTTTCCTTTGTCTCAGTATTTATGGCCAAACAAAGTATATGAAAACTTAACAAACGATATATTCCGTCGATCTGCGTTGGTGAAAACGCTATGGGGGTCTTTATATGTAGTGACTATTGTTCCGTTTGGTTCTTTGTTTCATATTTAATGTCATTGAACATGATTTTACTCTTGTATTGTACATTTTGTAAATGTGAATGTTATTTTGTGTGCATGCAGCCACTGGATGAAACGTCAAGTGTATGGTATGAGTTTTGTGTGTTTATTCATTGTGATGGAATAAAATCAATAAAAATGTAATGTCCCAAGCCACAGAAATATTGTGTTCAGGATATATGTGTAACTATACTGAGATCTTAGAACTTATATCTCAAGGTGGGTGACGCATTTACGTCGTAGACGTCTATGGGCTCCAGTAACCACTTAACACCAAGTGGGCTGTGAGCTCATTCGCCCATCTAAGCAATAAAAAAAAAATGTTTTGGCCTGAAATAACATTAATTTTTGTTGGAAGCTGTACTGAATAAAATGGTGCGTGCGTGCAGAGAGCGGCGCCGTGCGCGTGCGCGGGTCGCGGCGCGGTGTGCGGCGCGTGCAGCGTGCGCCCCCCCGCCCGCGCCCCCCGCGCCGGCACGCAGGGCTTCCGCCCCCCCGAGGTGCTGCTGCGGTACGGCGCGCAGACCACCGCCGTGGACACGTGGGCGTGCGGCGTCGTGCTGTGCTCCGTGCTCACCGCGCGCTACCCGCTGCTGCGCGCCGCCGACGACCTCGCCGCCCTCGCCGAGCTCGCCGCGCTGCTCGGCACCCGCCCTCTGCAGCGCGCCGCCGCCGCCCTCGGTAACTACACGCTGCCAGACATGTGTTAGCGATGCTCAAAAGCAATTATATTGTTATAAAATTAATTAGGTCGCCGTTTGATCACATCGTCCCCCCGGCGCGGGCTGTGTCTCCGCAAGCTGTGCGCCCGCCTCCGTGGTTGTCCCCCCCCGGCTCCCGCGGCGCCCTCCCCCGGCCCCCGGGTCCGCGCCCCCCGCCCCCTCCCGGCGGCGTCGTGCCTGCACTGTCGGTGCCTCACGCACGAGTGTATTTGTCGAGACGAGGATAAAGACGTAAGTATGAAATTTATTCTATTCAAAATTTTCAATGATCGGTTTTATAACGTATAAAACAACAATAACAAGTGCGCCTCGCCCGGGCAGGCCGCCGCGGTGTCCCCGGGCCGCAGCGTGGCGGGGTTCCCGGACAGCGCGTTCTCGCTGTGCTGGCGACTGCTGCAGCCGCTGCCGGCGCACAGGCTCTCCGCGGAGCAGGCCCTCCAACACGAGTTCTTCAACTCCTGACCACTCCACCGCTGCTGCTGGAGTTACATATATTGCGCACACAAGCGCCGCATTAGTTAGATTGTTATTTAATATTTTACTGTTAATTTATTTATAACACAGAAGTACCGAGCGAGCCGAGCGCGGCGCGGCATCGCCGACACCGCGAGATTTCATTTTCGAACCATTTTCTTTATTGAAAATGTTGTCGTTCCCGACATTTTTAATGAAGTAAAACCGGTTCCAATAAACTGCCACAGCCGGAGGCGGCGGCTCGTCAGTATCTCGAAAACAAATCAAAATGTACATGGGTCGGCAAACAGACTAATTAGTGGTACTAAAATGTTTTGCCTCTTGTTTATTTATCGCATTGATATGTAAACGAGCTCACCACCCACCTGGTGCGGAGTGACCGCGGCGGCTGCCGGTCGCAGGGGACTCTTGTCCTATAAAGTGTTTTTAAATATTATGGAATTAAAATTCGCTTATTTTGCATGAATGTTTATTAAAACACAAGTGACACTATGTCATTAAATTGTCCATCTGCAACTTTTTGTAGAGCCGCGTGCTTCGTGTTAGTCTGTTACTCACTGTCACTTGTTGGTGTCTGTGCTGGGTACAGCCGGGGACAGCTGGGGACTTGTTTTTGTACTCAATAAAACATGCTCTTGAATACGTATTTTTATTGACTTAACTAACAGAGTTTGCCGTTTCCACTAATTTAGCACTCGTGAGCGCACCAAGCGGTGGGGGTGGCGACAGGCCCCCCTCGCGCTGCTAACAATGTTAAACTTTTTATTTAATAACACAAACCCACTTGAAGTTGTGCGAATCTCAAACTTCTTCCCCACGTCAAGATGGCGACCGTCCCGGGGCGGTCGACGAACAGAAACACAAGTGTTATAAAAAATCATTCTTTATTAAAAAAACATTCTTAAGCAGTCTTGGCGCCTCCCGCACACGATATCTATATATATAAAAATAATAAAATATATGTACACCTAAAATAGCCCAATAGATAAGAAACTTTGCAACCATATACAAAGGGCTGCGACATGACCACTCCAACGGACACGGGTGCGTGAGTGCCGGATGGTGGCGCTGCGGCCAGGGATATTATCTTTTGAACCATAGGCCAAATTGTTCTGAAATGTCTTATATAGTTGGCTTTCTGAATCGTCTTATAGCCGTTATGTGTTAATATAAAGTTGCATTTCGTTGCGGGCGCAGCTAGTTACTTGAAAACACACGGCTAATTACAATTGAACGCAACTGTCATCACTGAGGCACGTACATTGAACACGATTGTCTACGGACACCCGTGACAGCTCCTGGTAACAGGACCAGAACAATCTACAAGAACCGAACATTTATTTACAAAACTAAACGTAATATTGCTTGTTTCGTAATTACTTAAATACTTCATTAACCTACTACAACATGAAGGCAGTCCCCCACCTTCTTTAGAGGTCATTCAAAATCGCGTTCCATTGCGTGCAATGTACGTAACGACAATATAGTAGTGAGTGCAGCGCCACCTGTCCGCGTGTTCGGGAATTATTGCAATGCACTACTGTACAGTCGCTCGATGACTGACGATGACATGCGCAGTGAACTTACTTATACAGGCACGTTAAAGGCTCATTGTTGGAATATTCAAAGACAACAACACCGGGTTAAACTTAACTATAGTATCTATTGAAGCTGTTTGCAGTTTGGCGAGAAAAAGGCCCGTTTTTTTGTAGCTTGCAAGTTATCTCGGCAAATTTAATGCTCCATGACAAGACTGACGAAAACTTATTTCAAATATTCGTTATTATTATTGAACAATTACATTGCAACGGGCAGCGAGATCTTTCGAATATAGCTTTTAATAATAGTTCCGACGCTATTCAATAAATCAAAAATAATAGTTTAACCCTCGGTGACCTATGAAATTGACAAAAATATCTTGACTCCGAGGACGTTGGTGCTGCGGCAACCGCGACTGTACCTGCGTAGAATGTGGGACATTCTCAACTTTGGATTTGGATAGTTCCTGATTCTCTTAAAGAGAAACTGGTGCCAGTTCGGCCAAACGAGCCAAGTGCATGTGAGCAACACGAAATACAATATTGTATGGGGAAAGAAGATAATATAATTTTTAATATAATATTAAATATAATTTTCTTGTCAATTAATTTTTTTAATTTATTCCGAAGACTCCGACATTATGCCATCATTACTCCGACATTGCTAAGGTTGTTCGTCACTGAACAATAAAGCGTTTTATTTTTGGAGCTTATTCTACGATACACGAGAGCTCGAAATATTAATCTAATTATGTATAATATTTTAAGTATGTAAAGTTATGTTAATTTGAATATTTCCAATTGAAGTATCTGATATTAGTTAACAGTAACGTATTTTATATTTTTACTATTTATATTATTACATATTTCATCAACTAATATAAATTTGAATAAAAGTATATTTCAGTATCTCTTAACCCCCTCTGCTTATTGTGTTATATATTGTTTAGGAATTCACAAACGTCTTCCATGATGAAAGGAAAACGTTGCCATAAAATTCTAGATCGCCAAAATATACAATTAGCGTACTGGTTGGAGGCTGGTGGCTGGTGGCAGGGCGTGCTGCGGGTCCCCCCGGGTGGGTGCCCCGGTGCTGCACATTTCCGCTGTAAAGCAGTAATATGTTCCAGTTTGAAGGGTGGGGCAGCCATTGTACAATAGAAGTGAAATCATATCTCGATGGGCTCCGGTGACCAGTTAACATCAGGTGGGCCGTGAGTTCATTCACAAATGCAAATAACCAATATTATTGTACCGTAAAAGAAGTGTTAGCTGCTGTTAACTTTTTTGAGGCGGAAGTTTGTCAAAAGAGCATTTAAACACACTTTAAATTTTAAAGTAATTGATGCCAACTCAATCTGTAGGGATAATTGCCAGAAGGACTTTACATTTCATTGTCATATAAAAAAAATAAAAACCAGCCATAACTTGGCATCGCTTTCCCGTAACATTGTGAAAACACATATTCTGAACTAATGTCATCATACATTGTCAAATGTCCAGCTGTGGAGCCCGGGGGCTGACTCCCGGGTAGTGCCGTTGGCGACAGCGTACGACTACTAACCGTAAACATAAAATGTCTTCACAAAACCAGTTTCCAATTTGTCTCTTACATTGCTCATGAAATAAACATTGAGATATCTATGTAGGAATTTTAGCTGGTCAATTAGTATAATTTATAATTAATAGTATTTTTACAGTTTAATGTGGCGTTTTTTTTTTCAGTTTTGGTGGACAGTATTTGAATTTTAAATTAGTTTTTACCGCGAAAAGCGAAAATACTGAGTAAAATTTATTATACATGTTTTTACATTAGTGGAGCCCTACCAATTACAGTTCACTCGGTAACTCACTGCCGAGTGAGCAAGCTTATTTAGTTTTTATTAATCAGAACCTTAATACACACTGCAGCTTGACACTCACACTACATAACAATCACTGATTTGATTAATTCTTCCAGAAATTAGGATTCTGCTGGAGCCTTCTCTCAAAGTTCTGGTACCACGTGTGAAGGGTGTTCAGTGGGATGTATGAAACACCAGGTGTGGGTGTCATCTGATCTTGCGTAACAGAGAATGATGCTACAAAATTGACTAAGTTTTCTAACATTTTCTGAGCAAATGTCACATAGTTGTTTGTTTCTTGGAGTGCCTGGAATAAACAATTATTTGGTGTACGTGTTTTTATATCTTGTTACTTAGCAGGAATAATTGTACCTTGAGAAATTTTTAACTTGGCTTTTGATGCAATATAGAAAGATACCAATGCTTATAACTTTTGATTAAATCTAAAAAAGTATTCCATTAAGCTATTAAGTAGAAATATTTTATTCTGTAAAACCCATTAACAACTACACTGTTAAAACGACTACACATTGACAATTGTCATGAGCACTCACGAATACATTCACAAGTTAAATGGAAATGAGTTACTTTTATTTATTGTCTAATGAACACTGACAGTGTAACTACTTACAACAGATGAAGCCAATAGTTGCACATTGGCTTCAGGCTCAATAGATATTCCTATTTGTGCATTGTGACATATCTGCTGCTGTCCAAATGTGCCCATGAATTTGTTTTCATCTGCAATCATTCAAAATCAATTATACAAAATAGATTATCTTGTTTATAAGGTAATGTTAGGAAATTCTTTTAGTCTGAGTCCCATGAGCTTCTTTTTTTTTATTTATTGCTTCGATGGATGGACGATGTCACAGCCCACCTGGTGTTAAGTGGTTACTGAAGCCCATAGACATCTACAACGTAAATGCGCCACCCACCTCGAGATATAAGTTCTAAGGTCTTAGTATAGTTACAACGGCTACCCCACCCTTCGAACCGAAACGCATTACTGCTTCACGGCGGAAATAGGCGGGGTGGTGGTACCTCCCGTGCGGACTCCCAAGAGGTCCTACCACCAATGATTACGCAAATTATAATTTTGCGGGTTTGATTTTTATTACACGATGTTATTCCTTCACCGTGGAAGTTAATCGTGAACATTTGTCGAGTACGTATTTCATTAGAAAAATTGGTACCCGCCTGCGGGATTCGAACACCAGTGCATCGCTTCATACGAATGCACCGGACGTCTTATCCTTTAGGCCATGATGACTTCAAATCATGTGTCAAGCATCATATCATGTGTAAGATGTGAAGTGCGGATTCCAAAACAATTGTAATTTAGGCATATCTATTTTTATTTATTGCTTAGACATGTAATAGAGCCTACTATCCACTTGGTGTGGAATAGTTATTGGAACCCATAGATATCACAACATGAACACCACTACCGACCTTGAGACTATTGTTTCAGATGTATAGTATTTCCTCAAATTATAATTTTTCAGGGTTTAATTTTTATTACACAATGTTATTTGTTTTTTGTGAAAGTCGATTGTGAGCAAACACATTCTGCTAAATGCATTTTTAACAATAAAATTGGTAGCTGATAAGGATTTGAATACCAGCATTGGTCATCTTAACTTTTTTGGCCTCAAAAACTTACTTGTTAGCTCATGTAGTTTTTTTAAATTTGAAATCTTAAATATGGCCGATGGCTTAATGTTCGAAATGTGACCAAGTAGCTGCCAATTAGGAGGTGCGGCTGGGTCAGGCCAGCTCCAGTAGACCATTGCTGCTGTACCGGGTGGCAGAGGTACAGCTCCTGTCAGAAATACTGCTACATGGTTGATGCTGTCTGCTTCTGTGATTGTGGTCAGGAATCTAGTCTCAGCAATAGGTGAGAAATCTGTGTGGACCTGGGGAATACAACACTTTTCAATTGATTAGGTGTATCCTAGAGTATTTTCCAAATGTTCATGTATTCCATAATTTCTCAAGTCAAGGTTGAGCAATATCTTTTAACTCTAGTATTAGCAGTATTATTGGGCTTTTTATTAGGTAACATTATAAATGCAAAGATTGTGAGGATTGATGACTGTTTGTTACTCTTCCACACAAAAATTACTGGGCAGATTTTAATTAAACTATAATGAAAAGCATATTGTACTGTCAATGAATGATATTATTATAATAGCAAGCAATAGCAGCAATAGCAATAATATATTTATAATTAGCAATATCTACAGTAGGATATATCCAGGTTTCATTATAAACACCTATATAAACCTAGCGCACCACTGAGATTTTAGAAAATAACTATTTACTCATCTCAGAATTGTCAGTGTTCTTAAATAATTTTACAGGCACCACTGTGACCACTTACACCAGTTGTGCGGTCGTGGTAGCTACATAGGTGGTACACGACAAGCGTAAACTTAGTGGTACTTGTGCACATTTCTAACAGTAAGGTATTATTACTAATATTTTTTCATAATCAGGTAAAAATTTATAAACTCCCATAATTTGTAGGGGTAACCATCTCATCTCTTCAGGTATTTTGTATTCTATTTCAAACAAATTGGAATCTAAAGTTAAGCTTTGGTTTACTTAATTAACTGGGCATAGCCTTCTACAAAAAAAACACCGAACTCACCAGTCGCCCAGACACGATTAATCCAAAAACGTTAGTCATTTTATCTAGTGTTACTTAAATGACTACCTTCTATTTAATGTTTCTGGAACAATTTGCATCTAAATCCATCCATACAAACCGTACATATATGTACCTACTCACAACAAATGTATCATTTTTTTAAGGAGTTTTATGACCTGGTTACTAAGACCTTTAGGTCATGTCTTACTTTAATTTATGTTCAAGTCTTATTTTTATGAAAAATGATAATATGGAGTGTACGGTGACTGTTCCGATACCATGACCATTAACACTGGCGTTCCACAAGGTTCGGTGTTCTCCCCCACGCTTTTCATCTTGTATATCAATGACATGCTGTCTATTGATAGCATGCATTGCTATTAGGAGTGGGTAATATCGGTTTTGCCGCGTATCAAATCGTATCTATATATCGAGGATCAATATCGGATATTGAATCTATATATTTTCTGAATCTATATATTGATGGATGCTAGTAGATTTTCTCGATTCATGATATTTGAGATTTGAAACGATACGCTGATATAATATCGTAGTAGATATAGATTTAAGTCTACGTTATACGGTTGGTTTTCTGATATCAATTTATAATATGATCTTAAAGTAATAAAAAGAACATGAAAATAAAAATATAAAAAAAACTTTCCTTCATGCTTTTACCAGGCTTAGGACTGGCTACATTATTTTCAGTTTTTAGTATTTTGTGTCTTAATTTAAAATTACAAAATATACCAAAAGAGTGTAGATTTCAAAAGTTTAATACAAACACAAGAAATAAACTCAATTATTTGGATTCAACTAAAAATAGAAAAATGTGTACTTTAAAAATCAAACACAAAAAACTTTTAAGTATTTATAAACACTTGTCCAAAAATTCTAGTTCAAGGTCAAAGCGCGTGAAATTAAATTCAACGATGCAAATAGGCTATACTGCATTCAAGTTAGGGTCGAAAGTTGAAACTTCTTTCCTTAATTGTATCCTGCTGATACGCTAAGAATAATCTACAGACATATGGACTTAAATATAAGGTTTACAATTGTATGGATAATGCCTGTTTCTGCCTTTAAAGTCGAGAAATGTCTCCCAGAGACGATATTTTGTTTTGTTGCCTATTTAACTAACGGCATTGGATAATCTTTGACAAAATCGCCCACTGAGCTGCCCCTATGATCTTAACATATCAAATTTTACAACTGTGCAAATGTATCTGTGCATTATGCCAAATTTATTTGGACCTTTAACTAGTATTGCGTCGTTTATATTGCGTGGCTCATTTTAACTCGTCAGTATTATGACGTGTGCGTTGAAGTGGACTGTATTGCTCTCGAACAGATGGGTGCCTGGTTCGATCTTTGTGCCAGCACTGAAGATGTTTATTGTCTTTTTTTTGGAGGGGATTTTAAACTGTTAAGTGAGTTTTAATGGTATATGAATTTGACTGTTGTTTGTTTTAACCGTAAACAGTGTGTCAACTGCTAAATTATGACATGGCAAAGAAGCTTTTCTGCACGGACGCGCCATCTGCCGGGCTTTGGAATCACCACACTCCCTCTCAGGCTTGGGCTCTGCCCTGGGCATTGCCTGACGTCCACGAGCGACATTTAACCACCTTACCATCCGAGGCTGGGGGCGTATGCCTCTTTGCTACAAAGCGCCAAAAACAAATCCTGTCAACAATCCCAGAACCCACGGAAACACGAGATAAAGATAAAAGATGGATTTTTTCGACACATTACAAAATACATTACTTGTCCAAGTTTAGTGCGAGGAAATGCAAAAGCCGTTGTATGAAGTTCCGGGCGTTCTGCTGTCCTTCTAATCTATACTACAGGTCCCCGCCAGTAGTCGGGCCCTTCCTCTATAATGTGTAATTGGGGGACTTGTCAAGTTTCTGCTGCTCATATGAGTGTCGATTCTTCTGACTACTCTTCTACTCACATGACAAGATTTCGCGCAGACACTCACTAGTAAATTTTTTTAACAAAGACAAGCAAGTTATAATTCAATTGACAACAACCGTCAACGAAACAAACCGTGCACACTAATATAGATATGTTGCCATGTGGATAGCTTATGCCTATGTATAAGATTAGTAGATTTGACACACAATAATGTTAGGGATAGAATTAAGTAAATAATCATCTGATAGTATTATGCCTATGTATATGGTATCGAAATATAAACCGCACCCCTC